GTGCAGTATTTCCTGCTGTTGACAGGACGATCCTGTCAATAGCCTCAGGCTAGATAGAAAAACCGTGACACAGCATCAAATAGGCCCCCAGACAATTATATGCTGTCTGGCGGCTCTGGCCTAATATTGGACATGTCTATTGGGTACTGTCACAAGTTTGTCAGCGTAACATCTGCTAGGAGAATACTAGTAAGACCCTTTGGATATGGAAACAAAGGGGGAGGGGGTCTGTAAGGGAAAAGGCCTCCAGGGTAAGGAATATTGGCAGAGAAGTGGTATAGAAAGCCCTGTCACCACACATTGTAGTTATCCAAATCTAACAGACTGATATGTTCAGAAATATACAAAATTTGAAATATATATAAAATTTGGATGTGCGTACTTGACTGTGGCTCGGAATTACAACTTACTTCCACCCCCCACCCCCGCACGCTTTACATCGATAGACTCCCGGCCGTCAATGGCCTTTCTCACTACATTTTGAAGCCTGGAGAAAAACTGAAAGCAGCCGGAAGATGACCTCAAAAGCCGCCCAATGGCCGCCCTTGCATCTGTGTGCATACTGTACCCAGCCTTGGTGCCGTGACAGGCATATGTGCAAATATACTTAGTCCTCGGAGATTTGTGTCAGACCTTCTCACCCAGATTATCCACAATATACTACCTCACTCTCTCTCGAACTAACAAAGTTTTTCTAATCCTTAATCGCTTGACTTTATCCCCAGCTTGAGGGTTTTATGTTCGCTAATTCGCGTACAAAAAGAACCAACTCGTAAACTTTTAGTTCCTGAACAATCGGGGTTTCGCCTTTCGGCAGGATCTGTTAAAATATGTAGTAAATCTGTCCGGTGGGGGGTTTTGTTCCCAAAGATGGGACATAATGCGAGTTGTGAGTTGTGGTGCCCCCCGATGCGGTTGACATTTGGAGGAACAAAAACGTCGCTTGCAGGGACGTAATTTAAGCAGACAGCGCGTCAGGGACGGTTTGCTTTGCAGGATATCTACAACTTCAGAAAACATAGTAAATTTTCGATCTCAAGCACACTAAAGTCATGCCCGCTACATACTTAAACTAGTTCCCAGTAGTTGTGGTAGTCAGACTCACATAGGCTGATACTAGAGAGCGCACGACTCAGGTTAGTGAGAGAATGAAAGATGGGTTGAAGCAATGATAGATGGATAAATGGATGGATAGAGGGACAGGTGGATAGATGGTAGCCTCCGTAGCAGGTTTATAGAACTGGGGGTTTGGTGGTCTTCGGCTGTTTTCTGATTAGTCCAGTTGTAAAAAAACGGGGGTAATTCAACCAGGCCGGCTATGTTGTATATATGCAATCAGAAAATAGCACATAAAAGCTCCCAAAGACCCTGAAGACCCCCAAAACCCGCAGTTTTTGGCATGCTATGGAGGCTAGATAGATGGATGGTTGGGTGGATTGATAGATTGAGCGAAAAACGTTTCTACAAAGGCTAGTGTATGTTCTTTATGCCAAGATTTCTCTTTCAATTGAACTGTTTCTTCCTTTCCCCCCTCATTTCTTTTCTACAATTTTTTTTAATGTCTCAAAAATGAAAAGAAAGTCTAATACCATTAGTTCAATGATAACGGAATAATTTTGAGTGATATTTTAGCCTTTTTCTACTCTTTGATGCCACTTATGTTACTCTAAGACGCTCCGGTAGAAAGGAATTGTGATAGCTATATATATATATAACTAAGGCACGCTGTGTCTTACAGACGACATTAGCCGAATACAAAGTCCTAAGTTTCCAAAACGAATGGCAAACCGCCACTGATTATGATAGGAAGAAAAGGAGACGAATAGACCTGGGATGTGCCTTAATATGACTGTAAGCTATCAAACAGTTCCTAGTATCGATGTAGAATAAAATTAGTGAGAAAAATCACTAATTTTTCTTAAACACAATTGCTTCTCGATGTGTGTATTTTCCGTTTATCTAAACTCGAAATCAACAATAATCAAATAAACGGTTTGAAAGAAAAGACTTACTAATACTTTCTTTTTGTGGCCACGGCATGCAATTAAAACGGATTTTTGCCGCTAGTGTATTCGGTATCCCTGAAATGGTAATGATATTAGTATATCAAGAAACGCCTAGCCTCTTGAAGTTTGAAACAAGTGGGAGCTAGATAATATTATAGTCTGCCATGTTTGACTTTTATACTTTATTTTATTATTACCCTTTTATACTTATTTTCAAGATATGTTATGTAGTATTTATTTTGATTCAGGCGCCGCAACTCATATTTAAGAGACGTACTCGTTATTAAGGTTATCGAGATATTTGCTAATTGATAACATCTGGTGAACACGACACGATATCTTTAAGGTGGGCCTACAATTACCGTTATCTGGGGCAAAGTGATTATCAACCAGTTATTTGTAACCCAGAAAAAAAACCGACCCATAGAGCCGGCTACCATAGGAGACCTCAGTAATGTGTTACTATCTTGTGATGTATTTATGGTAATTGTCGACCCCATTTGCTTTCCCACAGAATAACATCGTCTCTTTGATAAGAACATATGTAGAACAGCATGAAGGTGTACATACAAATATTACTCATTCACCTCCAACGGCTGACCGACGTTTACGAGTAGGTGCATTTTAGAGATTTCTAACCACTGCATTACATTGTTATTACCACTATCAGTTTTGCCTATTTTATATATGTTCATATCATAAAAAGATATCTGTTTCTGTGATACTACGTGAAAGTTTCAATTGGCCGGACAAGTCGGGACCAGTGACGGAGGGGGCATCTATTGAACGCAGTAAAATATACTTGGTACGTTTCTTTGAAGTTTAGCTATACCGTTGTATCTGACAGCCGTTCCAGGGGCGGGCGATGTTTTTTTGTTGGGGCGCTTGTTTGCAAAAGAAACGCAAAACAAAACGGCGACGCACCTGGAACGCATGCAAAGGAGGCTAAGGATCTGACAAGATCACTATGTCTGTCAAGATCTGTATGCAATACAAGTTGGTGATTTTCTTTGAAGCTTTGAGTGTCACGAAACAAAAGCTTTATTGATTAGTGCTCCCCGCTACATTAAAGGCTGCGACCGCAGAGGGACTAAATATTTGGCAGAAAGACTAACACTAGGCATGTGACCTTTGCAGATTATGAAATATCATGCACGTACAGACTTCTACATAACAGGAATAATTCTTATGATCAAGTAAAGACTAAACTTTCTTTCCAACACTGAAATGTGTTGGAAGTAAAGTTTAGTCTTTACTTCATAATGACTTGTACCAACGCAGATGGACTTTTATGCTAGGATTGATTGTTTTAAAAATAGCGATAGTTATGAGGATTTTCACTTTTCTCCAGTACGTTTGCAACATGAGGAAAGCGTGCCACATCTCAGCTGTGACCAGAGTTATACTTGCAGTGCTTTTTGGATTGTTTGTCCCAGGTAGGTCATGTTAACTCTTCTGTTTCTCTCAGTAAAAAGCCACGAACCTGCTTATTCGTTCTTTTGCAAGTGACCGTTTGTTTGAAATTGTATATTTGTGATAACCACGCATTCACGACTGAAGAACGGGCGGTTTTTAAATGAAAGAATGAAATACCTTAATTTATTGTACATTTATGTCCTTATACAAGCTACAAGTAAGTACAGTTAATCGCCATGACAAAGTTCTATGTACAACAAGAGTTCCACGATCTCATACCTTCGCCAACTGATGTTAACCCATCCGGTTGAAGAATTATACAATTTTTCAACAAACGCTCCTGCAGTTCCAGACCCAGCCGCTAGTGGGCCCAAACTAATGTCACTTCTTCCCTACCCCAAGAGCTATCTACCATCCAAAATCCACGTACGAACAGGTGGAGCTTATAATATATAGTTATCGAGTTGCCAGAGTTTTTATTTTCAAAAGTATGAAACGTATCTTATACAGGTAGCGACAGTCTGACGGTGACGGTTGACTCCGAGAGCCCCGCTACTCTCATCAGTGGACAGGACGGTTACCTGGTCTGTACCTTCACACCTGCGTCACCTACGTTCATCGTCACCTGGAGGAAGGAGACTTATACCGTCTACACCAAGTTACAGGTCATGGGTAAGTCTAGCATACTTAGTCCTAAGGCGAGCCTCCGTAGCAGGCTTATAGAACCGGGGGTTTGGTGGTCTTCGGCTGTTTTCTGATTAGATTTTCTGATTAAATTTCTGGTTAGCCCAGTTTTAACGGGGGTAATTCAACCAGGCCGGCTATGTTGTCTATATGCAATCAGAAAATAGCACATAAAAGCTCCCAAAGACCCTGAAGACCCCCAAACCCCTTAGTTTTTGGCATGCTTTGGAGGCTAGTCCTAAGGCCATGTTGATTTGATTATATGGATGACATCCGCGAGCGCACGAATTTTCACCCGACCCCCCAACCCAAAAAAAAAACGACGGTCACCATACTGTAAATCGTACAAAATGAGCCATTGCATGTCGTATGTTGGAAAAAAGTATACTAATGAATACCGAAATCAATTAACCATACTCTGTGTGTTTAGTCATTTGTTAAACCTTATATTATGTACAGTAGAAGGATACCTACCTAAGCATTAGATAGATACATGTATTAGAGTAGATATCGATGTGATATGTTGCACCCCTAAAGAACTTGATTGTTTCATTGTACCTGTGACAACTGTTGTGCAATTGGTAGAAACGTAATTGCCTAAAACCGTTTGTCCGTAACTTCTCAGGTTCAGTGCTGACGTCAGTAGCCTACGGGAGCCTGGTTGGGCGAGCGGAGATCGTGGATGACGTCACACTGAAGATCAAAGGTGTCCAGCACAGCGATGCCGCCACCTACGAGTGTGAGGTCTCGGACATGTCCGGGTCGGACTCCGGAGAGTCGTCTGCGTTTGTTGAGGTTTTCGTCGTAGGTGAGTAAACTGTTTGTGCCGTCGCAATTTGATTCCAAATATTTTTTTAACCGGGATGCCAGAGTATAGAGTGCAATTTTACGGAATACAGTGCAATTTTACGGAATACAGTGCAATTTTACGGAATACAGTGCAATTTAACAGAATACAGTGCAATCGTATTAGTATACAGTGCAATTTTACTAGTATGCAGTGCAATTTTACTAGTAAAACAGTTGCATCGTATTCCGTAAAATTGCACTGTATACTAGTAAAATTGCACTGTATTCCGTAAAATTGCACTGTATTCCGTAAAATTGTACTCTATACTCTGGCACCCCTGTTGAAAGTTTTATGACTTGTTCTATCAAGAAGACTTAAAGTAGACCTCGTGTCTCGTTTGCAACTTTTAGTTACCTTTCCTTAGATACATACTTGATTGACAGTGTTCTGTTCTTAGGAAATATCTGAGATACAAAATCCAACATGGCCGCAGACCAATTGCAAAGTAAAATAGATTTTGCTAGCGCGGAATATGTAATTAATTGTTGCCAAATATTAGCAATGGTCTTGTTTACAGACGACCCAAGTCCACCGGAGTGTACCCTGTCATCAGACAACCTCATAGCGGGGACGAACGAGTCGCTATCCTGCAGTTCCATCGCCGGCCGCCCGGCGTCGTCACTACAATGGTACCAACAACTCGGTGATGGGACCCTCCGGGAAGTAGGCAACAACATGGCGGATGGATCCGTGTTGACACATGACCTTCAAGTTACCAAACAAGATGGCGGAACCGTGTACATCTGTCAAGAGGAACATCCAGAGCCTATCACGTCTAAGAACTGTTCCGTCACACTTGACGTATCGCGTAAGTTATCTCTTTGTACCAGCCTTGTTGAACTTGTACCTTTGGTCTTTCGTACATTTAGAAATTGATATACATGTACTAGGTGGCTGAGCTGTGGATCTGTGTAAATGTTTGTCCAGAATGGGTAGCTTGACAGCACATGGGCTCGGGCAGATTGACAGGAGGTGAAAGGTCTCGAGCTCAGAATCTTGCCAGACGTAACAAGACGTCAACATGGGGGAATTCAGAAAGCCTAGGACTTTATACTTCACTTTTCCTTCTTTTTTTTTCTTCCTTAGACCTGGACACACCAATCATCAATGCCACATCCCCAGTGGCAATCCATGAAGGGACCCCGCTCTTCCTCCAGTGTACCGTAGACAGCAGGCCAGCTGCTGACATCATGTGGCTGTTACCGTCAGGTTTGGTTTGGTTTGGTTTATTTAGATCAACGTTAGTGAATACTATCATGAAAGCTCATCTGTGTTGATAGTTACATGTTTAAAGTTAAAACTTTTGATCCAACACAAAGAAATCTCTCACCTAGAGCTTTCGACCAGTCACTCTGGTCTTCCTCAGTAGACTGACCCAGTGAAGCTTGTCACGTGACTTCTTTGAAGTGTGACGTCAACACTGGGTCAAAGGTATCTGGTAGACGATGTCGGCCCCCGTCGCGGTTCAATGAAGGTTGATGGGCTTCTTGATAGGGGTGAAGGAAGCCATATACATCAGGGCCCAACAACCTTCATTGAACCGCGACGGGGGCCGACATCGTCTACCAGATACCTTTGATGACCCATCCATACTGAAAGTCAACTTAACACAAGGAAAGTATCAAAACCATTTACAGAGAGTCGAAGCTTTATTTTACCGTTAGGTGAGAGTGTACATGGCGCGGACCTGGAACTGCCGGCCGTGGGGAGGAGACATGACGGGGTGTACTCATGTGTGGCGAACATGACCGTTGGAGGAGTAGAGCTGGTGACAGGAGAAACAGTGGAGGTTACCGTGACAGGTAAGGCCATGTTGATTTGATTACATGGATAACATCCTCTGGGAACCCCAAAACTGATGCGAGCGTGTGAATAAAAAAAGTTTTGCAAAAAAAAGTTGCTTTCATTATGAAATCTACGTGGTCATGAAGGTGGAACAAATGACACAGAGTATGGTCTGACGAATAATCTACTCTTCAAATTCATTTCTTTACATTTTCGTGTTTTTCGTTTGATTTTGGCATTCTACGACATTGGTATCCTTTTCCAATATTTTTTTGGGTAACTTACGGTATATATTTGCTCTTTTTGCAACAGTTTTGTACAATGTACAGTATGGTTGAAAACTTTTTTTAAAACGTCCGAAAATTCATGCGCGCGCAGATGTCTTCCATATAATCAAATCAACATGGCATAAGTGTGGTTGAACTGGCGATTGATCAAATGCGCCATTTTCTTTGCCTCCTTTTCGATTTAACATGGCCGCACTTGAATAGAATGTCATATCACCGGTTTCTGCTAACGTTTCTTGATGCATTTGGGTATACCATGCAACATGAGACAAATTGTGACAACTTGGATAAATCTGAATAACACGTAGTTAGGCAAATGTAATTGTTTTCTGCATTAATGTGTTTCCCGTTTGCAACTTAAAATCTAATTACAGTACAACCTACTCCCCATGGCTGCCATATAAATACATGTGTATAACGATTTGCCACTAATAGTGTGCCTGTAAGTGTAATACAACGACGTAACTGTGTCAATTGTGATAACAATAACTCCATCTCTTTTTCATTGTAAAAGGTTTGCAAGGTCGACTCTTAATCTTTCACAATCCGGTCTGATAAACATCATATGATCAGCTTCTAACTAATATACAAAATGTAACAATTTTATAATGAGCTGACTAACTACCCGATCTGATAAACAAATATAACAATCCCCATGGCTTCATCTACAGCTAAGCTGGTTGTATGTAAACACAATGAACCGATGTTTTATAAATCACGTAGGTTTTGAAACCTCGACATTCAAGGAGAGCGTCCAGACAGAACAAGCTCTCACAATCAAAAGAAGTAAAGTTTTGTCAACACTTCTACCAGGAACATGGTATGAGACAACAACAATGGGGGAAAATGTCACTGGGATGCCGGTAACATCGGAAACAAACCAGGTCAAAGAACAAACGGTCAAAAGAACTACGGATAGACCAAGTACAGTGGTGTCTGTATCAGAAACACAGAAGGATATATTATACACACAAACGCTGCCATCCCAGGCCAAAAACACTTCTACAGATACATTGAAACAAACAATGTCAATGACTAGTGCTAACAGAGCTACGTCGATACAAGCAACGACCTCTGGCTTAGACGCGTCAACTCAGCCATCTGCAGTAGCCGTCGACCTAGACACGTCAACAGCGACACCAACGATGACGACTGGTAATGACTTTGGCACAAGAAATGCGGCCCCTAGCGACGTTGAAACGCAAACGCAGGCACGGGCCATGGCTAAGGTGGATACCATAGGATACGCCATGACACCTGCGGCAAACACATTGACACCAAATACAGCTACAATGAGTGCTGATTTGGGCACATCAACAAAAACATCGGGCGTAGCAGTGACACAGACAATGATTGAAGCCGTTGCAGTATTGAAACATACGATGTCTACAGCTAGTACTGACTCGGCCACACACGTACGAGCTATGGCCACTGATACAGTGACGCCGACAACTACTGATATAGACACAGTAACACAGACACTGGCCGTGTCAATTGGCTCAGACACATCAATACAAACCCAGACCATGCCATCTGGCATAGACTCATCAACACAAGTGAACACAAAGTCCAGTGAAGACTTGCACACATCAAGACAGACACCGACTATGACTACTACCTCAGACGGATCAACACAAACATTGCCCATAAGTAGTGAATCATTGAAATCAACGACATCAAGGAGTGATTTGGTTAAAGCTACCAAGGGGCCACCACAACCACGGTCGTCAACATCTGTAACATCTACGACTCAGGCAATGCCAGGCCACCCTCAGGCGGTATCACAGACTGCGCCGTTCGGGACAGAATCCGGTTCAAGCCGGTCCGGAACAGAATCCAGTTCAAGCCGGTTCGGGACAGGATCCAGTTCAAGCCGGTTCGGGACAGAATCCGGTTCAAGCCGGTTCGGGACAGGATCCAGTTCAAGCCGGTTCGGGACAGAATCCGGTTCAAGCCGGTTCGGGACAGAATCCGGTTCAAACGGAGAAACTGATGTGGACGAAACAGAGAAGGGATTTGGGAATAGATACACGGCCTCACCAAAACCACTTCACGGCACAGCCAGAATAGCTGCCGCGAAAAACCTCGGAGCGTCCACTGTGTCACCCGCCATCATCTCAACGAAAACCGTTCCTTCGCAAACGACCCTAAGACCTGTATTATCCACGGGCAAAAAAGACGCTTTTTCCCGGGCATCCACTAGTCAGCCCAAGACAAGCTCTTCGTCCACACCACCTTTAGATAGGTCTATGATGCCGTCTTCACATCAATCGTCATCAGTGGCAAACCTAGAAGTAACAGCTACAAGCGCTCCGAGGTCCGCAACATATACGACCGGATACTCCGAACCTTCACGGACAGCGGGAATTGATACATCAATCGCTAGGTCCTCCACAACGGATAGCGCTTTTTACAGGACAGTTGAGAGGATCTTCCCAACGGATGAGCCACCTGCAGACCGGTCGGTGATAACAAGAACCCTTCCGTCAGCGGGCATGCCTTCAGAATCATCAGAACTTCAACATGGACCTGACACGACGACGTTTGGTCCAGCCGCTACAAACGCTGTTTACAACAAAACCGAAGAGAACTCAACACCGTCTCTGGCTCCTACATCTTCTTCGACCCCCGGTAGGTACCGAAAGGAATCTTTCTAGCTAACAGCGTTAACACTACAGGCTGTCGTCATATATAACGGCATATCAGAGATGTAGTGTAGTAATGAGTTATCCTAACTTCTCGCGCGTTCTCGCGAGGCTAAACGGTCTCGCGTGTTCTCGCGATACTTCGCAACCGATCCTCAGCAAGTATCCGTAACTAACAGTATCCTACAAGGCGGAACATCAACCATTCTCTCCCTCTAGAAGTCATCGTGACGACGTTCGCAGGTCGTCGTACGATTTTAGAACCTACAACCAACAACCAACCAACCAACGTACCAACCAACCAACCACTAACCAACCAACCAACCAACCAACCAACCAACCTACCAACCTACCAACCAACCCTTTCGATAACAAGGCAGCTGAATTTTGTACGACTCACCCAAGAATACCCATAGTTTGCGTTCGTACGACGATCGTACGACGAATACGACCGCGCCCTAACAGATGCTTGTCTCTCACTCTGTAAAAGGCGACAAGTGTCTGAAAGACTACGTCCTTTACGGCGGGATTTGCTTCAAGGCGTTTCCAAAAGCCGTGACGTACTCCGAGGCCGAGGCTATCTGTGGCGCCGAGGGAGGCATCGTGGCACCCGCGAAAACGGAACAACTCCTAAAACTCATCCGCAAACTCGTCTACTCCGTGAGACCGATGTACAACTTCTGGATCGGGCTGGACGACCGGAGAACGGAGGGCGTGTGGCGGTGGTCGGACGGGACGGTGCTGAGAGCCGAGGACTTCCAGACCTGGGTCCCGGGAGAACCGAACAACTACCAGGGCACGCAACACTGCGGACGGTACTGGGCCTCCATGGAGCAATGGGACGACGTTGTCTGTTACGTTCGCTACCTGTTCGTTTGTCAAATAGGTAAGGGCTTTATATGGCCTGGACATGTACGTAGCACCATTTTGATAACGACCAAATGGTAACGTAAGATTAAGTTCTTACTAACCAGGAGATCTGGCCTTGCTAACAGTCAAAGTCACCAGGGTGTCGATTCAGTCGTCAACCCAAATTTTCGGTGTACTATTTTCTCCGTAATGTATTGCCAGTCATGATCAATGCAAGCCAATTGTTAGTCGAGGTATCAACTCAGATATAAGCTCTCGTCACCGTGAAAGATCGATCCATTAGCCACGCCCACTCACTCTTTCATTGGTCAAACCAGTAATTTCCATTCTCCCATTGGTTAAAATGCTACTTGCCTTTCTCTCATTGGTTAAACTGCTAATTGTGATGGGAAAGTCAGGTTTTCTTTTTGTTCGTTGACTTCCAACAGGACAGACGACTACGAAGACTCAGAGCTACACACCGTCTAACGTGGTACAGACGAGTGCAGTGCGCATCACCCGCTCACCGAACAGAGGAGTCACTCCGCCGACACCGCTGCATAACGATAACAGTAAGTAGTTTTTAACCACACCGGCCCTGAGGTGTCGCCAAAATACCTCTTATTACCTTCGCAAAGAAGGCCATGTTTTCGTGTGTGTGTGTGTGTGTGTGTGTGTGTGTGTGTGTGTGTGTGTGTGTGTGTGTGTGTGTGTGTGTGTGTGTGTGTCTGTGTGTGTGTGTGTCTGTGTCTGTAAACACCACAACTCTAGAAGGCTTAAATGGATTGTCTTCATATTTGGTAGGTAGGTAGGTCTTGACGAGACCTCGAAATGATAAGATTTTGGTCCCCCTTGCTTTTTGTTATAGAACTGCAGCGGGACTTTCGGTTTATGATATTTCATGACCTAGACATGCTAGGAGCACGAAATTTGGATGATAGGTAGCTCTTGTGCTGAGAAAGAAGTGACATGAGTTTGGGACCCCTACCGGCTTGTTCTGGAACTGCTGGGACATTTGTTTAATAACTGTTTACACTACAGAAACGACTTTGAAGCTGAACCAGGTCAGGAGGCCAACTGTGAAGGAATCACTTCCGGGGTGGAAGGTCGGCCTCATCATCATCTTCACGATAGTGGGACTGGTGGCCCTCATGCTTCTGGTCGCCTTCTTCACCCGCAGCAAATTCTTCAGGTAAAATCCATCAATTTTTAGGCACAAGTATTCAATGATATATACATGTATGATGATTACCTGTGTTTTATTTTGTTTTCGACGCCTTGTCTATTTACTTATAAATGCTTCCGAAGTTGTTGTTTTTATTCCAACATGTAATCACAAGACGTGGTGACGGCACACTCAAGTTTTTTCAACTTATATTAATGCCGCCACCAACACAGGGGACAATATACTGATTTTCAAGAGGAAAGTCGTGTAAAGTGCCTATCCCAAGTCCACAAGATCGCGGTGGCATGCCAGGACTCGAACCCGGGACCTCTTGGTTCCGAGTCGAGCACTCTGCCGCTACGCCCCACGACCCCACACTGTAGTTCCGTAGTTATTCTAATACATGTACATCATCATCATCATCATTAATCATCGAAATACATGTACAGTACAGTCAAAAGAAGTGAGGGGGAATGATGTAACCGCAGACTTACGTTGACAGGAAGTTCAAACTGGAGGTGCAAATGGTCTTACGGCAGGTTGGGCAGAAGTGATGTCGAATTGGATGTCAAAATGGTCTCCATCAACTTTTGTTATACATTTACAATATCCTACCTGATCGTTGCAAATCAATTTCCTTTTTTGTGAGAATTCTTTTCTTTTGTTGTTCCAGGTTCAAGAGGAGCATTATGCCTGTTCCAGGGCCACCCTCTACCCAGGAATATGGCAGTCAAACTAAACTTGACCCGTGATTTAGGACCTGTGATTCAGGGATTCACTAAAATTGACGTAGAACGCACCATGCATAGCAACCGTTAAATTTGATATTCTGTTTAATAACAGCATGTATATCATTAACAATATGCAAGTAACCGAGCATGTGATTTTTTGTTCGATGATTATGTTTTAAGATGGTAGATTATTAATATTATATGAAAATACTTTTTATTGTATGAATTCGAAAATGAATATGTGAACGTTTTTTTTTTTGTTACTTTGTCTTTCAACATAAGAATAGTAAAAAAAATAGTTAGCACAGCGTTTGACATACATTTTATTTAGTTTTTATTTCATTTTTGTTTCATTTTGAAAACGCAATGCCGTTAGCCCACAGTGGGAGACTTGTACTACAACATGTATAACTTACTTGGTTATGATATGATAACTATCTACATACTTCCTACATGTGTGGATTGACCAAACAAACACAAATCAAGCAACTACTGAATTTTATTAATTTAAAATGCACACAAATCTACAAACTACATATCTTTACAAACATTTGAAGCACTGAGAGTACCCAGTTGTCTTCGTGTAGCTATGCTAGTACAGTGTGCTCACTTATGGTAAATATTCAAGTAAGGCCATGTTGATTTGATTATATGGATGACATCCTCTGGGAACCTCAAAACTGATGCGAGCGTGCGAATAAAAAAAAAGTTTGGCCAAAAAAAAGTTGCGTTCATTATGAAATCTACGTGGTCATGAAGGTTAACAAATGACACGGAGTATGGTTTGGTGAATAATCTAGTCTTCTAATTCATTTCTTTACATTTTATCCTTTGATTTTGCCATTCCAAGACATTGGTATCGTTTTCCGAAATTATCTTTTTGCAACTTACGGTATATATTTGCTCATTTTGCAACTGTTTTGTACAATTTACAGTATGGTTAAAAACTTTATTTTTTTTGGAAACGGACGAAAATTCATGCGCGCGTGGATGTCGTCCATATAATCAACTCAACATGGCCTGAGGCAAAAAAAAATATAACACAGTGCAAACGTTAAAGTATTCGTGCCTTACATAAATTCCACAAATTGATAATTACATGGCGACTATTTGTGTACTTGTTTTTGATTTACGAGTGCTTCTGTCTCCTACGAGATCGGAGATATCCATGTTGGGTTCGTTTGCGTTTTACGTTCCCTAATTACCTGTATAAATACATTTACAAAGTTGAATGCAAGTATCGCACGTCAGGCGATAGTTAGAATGAGGTAGAAAATTGTCTCGATGAATAAATATGTCACTATAAACAGATATTCTGTCAAGCTAAATAATCAATAGTAACGTCACACATACATACATGATAATATTCTAATGACTTAAAGAATTAACGTAGCAGAATGTCACACACACACACACTACAAAATACATGTGACAACATGAAAAGACTACTGTATAATATAGAAGATATTACATGGTGGTCTTATAACTTTAACATACGCCTGTACATGTATTTTTATACCTGCCTTACATTTATCTATGACTAAGGATGTGCATTTTGAATGATACAACGAATATGAATCTGCTTGTTGGATGAGTTTCCCTTAAATTAGAATCACTGACTGTCTCTCCACCGGTCATCAAATCCCACATTTTTGTTCAACAAGCTCAAAATTTATCACAAGTGTCATTTGTTTTCTGTTCATGTGAATTCTTCTTAGACCAAATAGACTTTATAATATTTATCCACCTTCTACTCAAAACATACAACGGGCTAGTGTAAAACACGCGTACGCATTGTCAAAATACATGCATAGTTACAAGGTGGGTAAATACAAACAAGAACAGTTAGTGATCTATCAATTACGAGAATCTACCCGTACAGTAGATGAAGTTTTGAACTACAGCGAAAACATTACAGTTTTGTAGGTGTGAGAGTGATGTGGACCCTCGAAGTATAGTAAGGAAAATAGTGAACTGTCATTGAGATACTGTACATGTAGCTCTACTATGTTGGAGAGAGATGATAACAGAGTACTTTGACTGGAATAATGTTTATATATTGGAATGAAATCACTCCAGCAGAGAGATGTTTGAACGGGTGAACCAATGGCATTACGCCTTGTTAGCATTGAATCTACTGACGTCATATGACCGCAGGTGACCTGAGTTGATGACCTTACTGACGTCATAAGAGATGATTGACGGCTGAGGAGAGACAGGGCGGCCATAGGCTGTCGTCATCTGGTACTTCAGCCGGAGGTACCTGGGAGAAAGAAACAATATTATGTATGAATGAAACATAGAGGATATTTCATCCAGTTTGCGTTGTTATTACTGTTAGTATTGTTTTGGGTGGCTGAATTTACAGATTTGTCTGTCTGTCCTAAATTTTTCTACCAGTGTCATCGTCACGAAAACCTAAAATACTTCCCAGAAGTCTGAAGTCTCCGATTTTTTTTGTTGACGCCTCAGGGAGGAGCCTAATGGTACAGTATTGTGTGCAGTTTGCAAGAATTCTAGGAATTGTACAGGAATTTTGTCCACAGGCATGGAATGTCTCCCAGCTCTGTTTGTTGAGATGCCCACATTCCTGGAAAGCATGAAAATCTGTCTGCCCCCGGTGCCCTACTTTCTGTCACCCCGGGTCTCGTTAACCGTACACTCAGGGGAGGGGAGGGTACCAAGGCTTCCTCAAAATCATGAACTCATGACAGTGCCATGCAAACAATAACCCTAACCACCGTCACCATGGCAATGTGTGTTTTTATTGCCAGTCTTGTTGTTGATGTACACGTTCTGGACGATTACACTATCTGTATGAACTGCACATCTCATTAAAGGTATATGTGTAATTCAAAGAGATACATGATGCTGATGCTGATGGTACTGATGCTGCTGATGACGATGATGATGAAGTTGATGATGATGGTACTGATGGTGCTGATGCTGATGATGAAGTTGTTGATGACGGTGTCGGTGGCAAAAGAAAACAAGTAACCAGCCTGTACCTTAACTCACCTCTGAGTCAGAAAGGTGATCAACACTGCCGCGGCCGCTAGGGGGCAGATGGTGAAGATGACAATCAGAGCTCGTTCCCAGGGCTGCAGGCCGTTAGCGCACGACTTGGCGACGGTCGTCATCATCTCTGTCGTGAAAACACACAACATGCCGCAAAACGTCAGAACTGACTGTCAAACCTGTCAGTCAAGCGTCTTAAATCACAATCTTTACTTCTGGGTACGGAAGTATTGTTTTGGGTGGCTGAACTTGTTTGTTTGTGTGTTCTTTTTGTCCGGATAGAGAAGGTTGACAGCATGTGGTTGACGATTGACAGGCAGAATGACAGGAGGCTAAAAGGCCAGACACAGGAAACCAAAATGCTTCCCGGAAGTAGGAAATTTCCATGTTTTGTGTTCATAGAGAAACTGGAAAGGTGCAAAACGATGAAGAGTCCAACTGACAGGACTTATGAATGCATGATCTGGGAATTGATATGTATAATAATGTTCTATATGTCCATATATTAATGTATAGCTTATTTAAAGTGAAAATAAATCAAGTTGAACAACGTCAACGGCTTGAGGATATGGCATTGCAACGACCAGATTCAATGTTACTTAGTTGCAAAATATATCAGGTCTTTCATTTTAAAAATGAAGACTTATGAGAAATTTATGATATCATACAATTCATATAAAAATTCTGTTCCGCACCTGTAGTTGGAGGCGTAGACCAAGGCATCGTACCGTTGCAGTAATCTGCAAACAAATTTAGCAAAAAAGACATTGTGATACGTAAAATGGTTAAAACCAGAAAAAAAGACAAAAGATTTCTATCCTTAAATCAACGGTGCAACTTCTTTTCTACTGTAATTTCATTAGTTAAATGGTTAGAAGTTAGAGACGCGACTAAGAGAGTGTACAGCTAAAATGACTGACATATATATGTTTTTTTATTTGAAACACTTCACAGCCCGAAAGCTAGTACATGTCCCATACATTGTATAAAACAACTTGTGACAATACAACACTGAAGGTTAAAATAAATAAATGAAATGAAATGAAAAATACCAGCTTCATTAAAAGTACTACTAAAAATTTGAAATATAACGGCATGTACGTGTAGTATGGTTGCATTACAGAGTACTAAGCTAGACGAGGTAGATGCAGGTTTGTAGCTTGGCGTACCGTATTGACAGTTCTTGCCCTGTCTACAGTCCACTCTACAGTCACACACGTAGTCGTCCACCAGGTCCTCACACCCGGCCGTGCCCACACAGGGGCGGTCAGCGTCACACCAGGCTGGGGACGGAAGGTGTGCTTAAATAATAATAATTTCAAAAGGTAGACGAAACTTTCTAACGATATGATTAAAGGTAATATTTCTATCACTGCTATATTATTACCTGTGTGTACTCAAAACGATACCAATGTCGTAGAAAGCCAAAATCAAAAGAAAAAGACGAAAATGTAAAGAAATGAATTTGAAGAGTACATTATTCGCCATACCATACTCTGTGTTATTTGTTCAACCTTCATGACCACGTAGATTTCATGTTGAAAGCAGCTTTTTTTTTGCCAAACTTTTTTTTATTCGTACGCTCGCATCGGTTTTGGGATTCCCAGTGGATGTCATCCATATAATCAAATTAACATAGCCTTACAAATTCAATCATTGATGAATCAACCGATATCCCACGTGTATGTAACTCATTTTGGTCCTGCAGAATTTTCAATAACGAGATGAGAATATATCAGGAAATGCGTCAAGATTCTATAAATCAGATTATGCATTTCAGATGAAGAAACGATATGCCCGTATATGATTCCACTCACCACAGCCGAGCACCTCCAGTCGCAGGGCGAAGTTCCCGCCACCGTGGGTCAGCGGAAGGATACGGAAATAACGGGCAGTGATGGGTCCCGAGTCGAAGTAGTGCGTCACCGTCCCGACGTCATCCGTGTTACCATCAAAGACCTGGAATTTGAGATAGTAAATAAAAGGTAATATAAGGTCGCTCACATAACGATTTAGACAGGGTGTTTTACATTCTACATCGATTTTTAGACATTCAGGATGCATTTTTTATTTTTTCTGAAGGCTGTGGAGGGATTGTATGACGTAATTTAATCGGGTATTACACACAGTCAACACTTACTAAATTTACCACGTATTTACTAACACCCTCACTTACTCCCATACGGATGCTGGGTCACCCTTTTTTATGCTGACCACAAAGTTGCGGAAAAATACACAGACAGACACAGACACACAGACAGACACGCCAAAACAATACCTCCATTTTTCATGGAGGTAACAATACCTACAGAAAGACATACATGTATCTACAGCTGAAAAGCCCGCTTCTATAAATCCAAACACTCACCTTGGGGCTCGCGTTCTCCTCGTCCTGATACAGCGTCCACCTCTGCCCGTCCGTGCTGTAGAGAAGTTGATAACTCGCCGTGTACATCCCGTCCTGGCCCTGCGTCATCAGGCCTGAAACGTTCCGAACTTTCAGGAAGTCGACCTGAAATACAACGACAGAACTGTATTAATTAACATTGGTCTTGTAGAAGTATTGAAAATGACACAAAGGAAATTTTTGAAGAACCAAGAAATCGGAGACTTCAGACGTCCTAGTGTTTTTATGAATTAAAAAAAATGTCTGAAAAAAAAAAAATGGTCTGACGTATTTCAACGAACCTAAATATGTAACTTGTTGTGACAAGCCCAAGGTAACTGTGTGACCTTCCTGTCAATCTGCGGTTACAAAGTCCCCCCCCTCCCTTCCTGCCACTCATTGAAATATCTACGGACACACACACACACACACACACACACACACACACACACACACACACACACACACACACACACACACACACACACACACACACACACACACACACACACAGGGGATAGTAGTAGTAGTAGTAGTAAGCCTTTATTTAAACTCGAAAGCTTGTTCGGTACATACATATGACCGCTTTTCAACAAGGTCGAGGGTGAGGGATAAGCACGACTATTCCAATACTATTCCCCTGTTTAGATCGTGCGACGGTCGTACGATTTACCTGCAGAAAGAGTCCGGTCCGGTTGGGGTTACAGGCCACCCAGGCGCCGGCAGTTGCGTTTGTTACCGAAGGCGAGTTGTGCAGCCGGCCCTGGGCCGCCCAGCCGTACAGGGGAGAGGTGGAGATACACCGGGCGGACAACTGGTCATCCCTCACCGTACCCGACTGTAGACCCATCGGGCGCTGGCACTCATCTACAACAAATTAACCCATGACATTCAAGATTCTACGGAAATCGTTTGATTTTATGCATTCTTATTCATAGAAACATCAATAGCCCTTATGCAGCATGTGCTCCATCTGCTCTTACATTTACAGCTGTCTGAAGTTTTACCTGTACATATACAGAGATTCTTTATTGACACAACAAAAAGTACTGGGACTTTTGTAGGGTCTTCTTCAACTTAAGATCTGACAAAGCTAAATCCATGTGTGGACAACGTCATCTTACGTACAGAGTATACATATACAAACTAGTATACACATTAGCCATTGTAGAAAGCCACTCTTATTTATATCTCTTATATGGCACCTAGAACTACTTTATCACCATGAAATGCATTTAGATTGTAAGAGCATAAATGTACAATAAATGTCTTCTTCTTCTCCTATTAATGTAGATATACAAAGTATGAGATACGGTGATCTTTAAATCACACATGATTGCTCAGTACATTTTGTACTCTAAGTCCAACGACAAAGGGACTTAACTACATCTCACAATCTTTCTCAAGTTAGTTGTCCCCGGAAAAAGGACGCAAACTTACCGCTTACGACGGAGTGAGATGTAAGAATCACGACGTATGCCAGGAAGAAAAGACATCCACGTTGTTTCTTCATGGTCGTCTTAATGAATACGTGAAGTGGGAACGTTGTTCTGTTTACGTACAAGTCCCAGAGCAGATTGAAAAACATTCTGATGAAAAACAGTTTAATATATAAACCGCTGACCCAAAACTATTGTAAATTCGATATCTCACGTGTAGTACATGTGATAAGGGACTGAATTGGTCGTCCGATTGCCATGGATACCAGAAAAATGGCGGGAAAACAGGTGTTACCCTTGACAACCAGGTGTTGTGAGGAGTCGGTGGTGAGACACGCCGGAACGATTAGTTTTATCTCCACACCTGGTTTTCTTTTTTTGTTGTTGTTATATTCCAACATGTAGTCACAAGACGTGGTGACGGCACACTCAAGTTTTTCAACCTATATTAATGCCGCCACCAACACAGGGGACAATACAATACTCATTTTCACCTGAGCGAAGTGAGGAAATTCGTGTAAAGTGCCTTTCCCAAGGGCACAAGATCGTTGGTACGTCAGAACCTCTTGGTTCCGAGTCGAGCACTCTGCCGCTACGCCACACAACCCCACACCTGGTTTTCGAGACAGGAACAATATTGTCGTCATCACCGGAAGAAATTTACAAGAAATTAGACAGAATTGTCAAATATATCAAAGAGTTCCTGCATGATTAATCATCAATAATGTTGTTGTTGTTTTTCTTCTCTCTTGGTTTTCTCATGAGAATCAAAAGCACACACCTGGTTTGTACCTAACTCCACAGCAAAATAAAATCAGTGAAAATTATTCTCATCTTACATCATTATGTGTTGTTTCCGAGAATTCAGAACTACCTGTACACTTTACATACTATCCCAATCAGAGACGTTAGCATAGGGGAAACATGTACCAATTCAGCATCAACAGAAATTAAAGATACTCAGTTATAGAGACATAGGCACAATTTTAGGCACAGGGGCTTGGGGGTTTGGTGGTCTTCGGCTGTTTTCTGATTAGCCCAGTTCTAAAAAACGGGGGTAATTCAACCAGGCTGGCTATGTTGTCTATATGCACATAAAAGTTCCCAAAGACCCTGAAGACCCCCTAACCCCCAGTTTTTGGCATGCTATGGAGGCTAGGCTTATTACGGAAATATATCTTGAACAATAGATGTCTAGAAATTTCATAAACTTTCATATACAGTATCTAAGTTTAGACACAGATGTTATTCAAATACTGAACGTCTTACAAAGGAAATACATATTCCTTGTCCTTACAAGGTACCTGTCCTGATGGTTTCTGTTCCTATTTTGAATTGACAAAATGGGATTTGGTAGCTACATGTAAAATGGGATGGATACCAGGGTATGTTACATGTATGTTGCCCTTTCATATGTACCCTGTTAGTTATGTGTTTCAATGTCTGGAAGCATCATTATCAATGTAGACCTCAGTGGCTTTTTGTAACTGTGTGGATGGACATCTGTAGATTGTTACAAAAGCTTTCCTTTCATTCCTAGTACTCTGCTACATTCAAGTAGCTATGGCTACACAGGCAAACACACACACATGCACAAACACACACATACACATACATACATACACAACAAAATATCCTTTGTACAGAACACACTACTAGTAAATACAGGAATGGATAGCAGATGACAAATATGAAAACTTGTGAATTATTTTATTGTTCTTCCTGATTATACAGTGTATGTAAGTATATTATTTGCCTTTGCGCTTCAATGATTTCCTGACAAAATTCCAAGAATCAACAAATCAAATTGGTATTATCTCTCTACATTACTGTTCAGTTTAGTTTCCACTTTCATTGCTTAGGTTCAACTCCTCTCCTAGCCCTTCTCTCTATCCCTTCTTCCTTCCCAATACTCATCTGTGCAAGGTGTTGTCTCTTAGCCTCAAACAGGACCACACTGGCCGCTACGGCTGAGTTCAGGCTATCCAGGCCCCTCCACATGGGCACGAACACCCTGCAGCCCCCAGTCTTCTCACACAGCAGCAGGGACTCCAGACTCAAGCCTTCAGTCTCACCACCCACCACTAGTGCAGTGCTGCCCCCTACCCAATGTGTGCTGTAGTACGGTACTGCAACCAGCTCTGGGAGAGACGTTGGGAGCTCAAAATCTTCGTCACCGCTTGTGTCAGGGTCGTGGATTTGGTTCTGCCTTTTACCTGCGGATCTCCGAACGGTGCTTAGCGGCGGGTGGAATAGCGTGAACTTGTTTGCGACGTCAACGTTTGCGTCGGCGGGAAATACGACAGTGTCGGGTGGCAGGTAGTCAGGTATGGCGTCCCAGGTCAGGTCCTTGATGATGGGGAGGTGGAAGTGGGCGCTAGCTCCCGCACGGAGGACTTTGCTCTCCCAAACATCCACACAACCTAATGGAAGGAGAAACATTCCACTGTTTCAAACAGATGCACATTGCCACTCATAATTCCTACATGTATAAGTCTGAGACACTAATAATACACTTTATTACCTCCGGGTTTGGAGGAATTGTTTCAGGTTTACAAGTCTGGCTAACAGACACATTTACAATAAATATGCACAGTTCTCCTGTTACATTCGAAATTCTAACGCCTTGGAGAAGTCATCAGATGATTTGCATCTCTACATTTCATTTTTGCATATCTGATTTTTTCCTGAGCTGATGTCACCCAGTGATGTCAGCTCAGGAAAAAGCACAGAAATGCAAAAATAAAACATAGATACATGCCCGTAGCCAGGATTTTGAATGGGGGGGGGGGGTTCTTCCCACTCCTTGAGGGAACCTCGAGCGCCGCAGGCGCGAGGTTCCTAGGGGGGTCCGGGGGCATGCTTCCCCGGAAAATTTTGAAAAATGAACCTTCTAAAATGGCATTTCGTGCATTTTTGAGAGGATTTCCTAGAGAAAATCAGAGATAAATTTTTATTCAATGACAAAGGGAGCAGTTTTTCAACGATTCCAGTCCATCTTTTCAAGAAAAATCTTGGACCTTTACATAAAATGTGGACCAAAAAGTGGACCTTTACAGAAAATGTGGACCAAAAAGTGGACCTTTACATAAAAAGTGGACCAAAAAGTAGTAATACAGCCTGGCCAATTTGATACTGTATTTTGCACCCACCAAAATATCTGCTTGGAGATAAGTGTTTGGTCAGCACTCGACGCTCCAGCGTTGCATTATGCTTAGGTCACATTTGAAACGGCGCCCGTTCGGCATGTCCTCGGTGTAGACGCCGGCCGGCGCCATGACGCCGAGCGTGCGCCGACACTCCCGAACCCCCCCTGGCTACGGGCATGAGATATGCAAATAGAGATGCCCGAAGTGGGCAATTGGGAAGCTTGCTAGAGAGTCTCCAAAAATCCACTTTTAGAAGGCCGTATACTACAAGCTAAATTTCTCAGTCTTCATGATTGGAACAAACTTCCAGTGACTATATTGTATGTGCACTTCCGATATTTGTATGTATTTTACAGACTTTTTTTTGGTGTCATTTGGTCTTTAAGTCTAACCTTTAGTGACCAGTAGTTTCTGACAGCCGGCAGCAGCAGCAGACCTGATGATGGTGCCCATGTTCCCGGGGTCACGGATGTTATCACAGATCAGGGTCAGAGGTAACATCTCCTCTTCACTACAGGCAGGGCTGAACAGTCTGTTCACATCTGGTCTCGTAAATATGGCTGGAGAACATGGAGAAACGAAAAACATTTTTCAAACCATATTGTTGTAGATTAATAACTTAACTAGGAAGGTAATATTTACTATTAAGCAACTGCATAATGTTTACCATTGCATATGGTCTGCTCTGTTTATTCTTACTCAAACACATTCAAATATATGGTCATACAGGAGTCAAAATCCCTCCTGCTATAAAATTGCAACATGATGTAACCTAACACCAGTTACCATGGTGACAGACCAGGTCATTGACCTTATCTGTTTGGAGAAGAAGAAGAGGAAGAAACCGAGCGAAAACAATATGATTTCGTTCTGCGAAGGCAAACATAACAGTATGTTTAATAGGAATTTAGACCGATTATGAATGGCAGTTAGAAGTACATGTACATGTAGTTGTGTACCTAAAGAAATTGTAGTATGACTACAGGTACACAGGTTTAGTTACAGTACAAGACCTGTACCTGTATCTTTTTTTCATCATAATCATCTATAAATTATATTTGTAGCCAACTCCAGTTTTTAGCAATAGATTGTTCTCTTTGTATGAGGGTTTACATATTCTAATCTAAAAACAAGTCTCTGGTGTAAGTTTTAGGTGTCATGATTTTTAAATTTAAGTACTGAATTGTTGATTTAATCAAGGACAAAGTATCCTTGATTTAATGATGACATTTTCCGCCTCTAATGATTTGACCTCTTACCTATGACCTTCTGAGGGGTTACAGTGTCTGACCAGTCATGGATGTCCTTGTGTTTGACCTTGTAGAGCTCTGCTGTTGTTTCCTGAAGAGGCAGGCCGTCCAAGTCCTCCACGTGGCAGAAAAACAATGACTCCAGAATCCCTCCTGCTTTTATGGCATCCTATACATTGTAACAAGAAATCAAAGAGATATTTAGAGTTTCTGTGAATTTATTGGCACAATCATCATCATTGAGGATATAACTATAACATGTCAACTCAGGAAGCTGTATGCATTCTCTTGCATAACTGATCATATATGAGGAGATGGTCTGACATACTTTCAACAGACTGAGAATAGCATGAAAGTTCATCTGTGTTGGTAGTAATCATAGTAAAAGATTGAACTTTATTCCAACACAAGGGTTACAGAGTGATCAAATTTTTGACAACCACATGTAAACCGTAACTCTCGCAAGATCACGTTGTGAAGTGATTGGTCATTTATTATCCTGATGAAGGCGACAGTGGTCGTCGAAAATTTGATCGCTCTGTAACACTTGTGTTGGAATAAAGTTCAATGTAAACTTTTACTAAGACTGAGAATAGCTAGGACAGAAAACTTGCACTGCAATTTGCAGGCTGAGAGCTTGCTATGTGCTTTCTCACCTGGCCAACAGACTCTGGCTGGTTTTCAGCCAAGGCAGGATCTGGGACCTAACTTCCTGTGTCTGACCTTTTGTGGTCTGTTATTAGAGAATTTCCCCCTAAACCCAACAATATAAACAAAACAATTGTAAAAGAAACATACCACAGATGACCTTCAACATTATTAGTACTTAAACATCGCTGACATTGCCTTTACCTTGATAAGTCTCTTTCCCTCTAGAAGTATCAGGCCCTCCTTGTCTCTCCGCTTTTTGGATTTGACTTTCACAAGAAGCTTTCTGGAAAAAAAGGCATTATTAAGTCTTTGATGGAAAAATTCCACAACATATACAACGGACAAAAAATTCAGCAGTATAATTATGAAAAATATCTGGTGGACAAAACAAGACAAATACCTTCAGTTAACACATACGCACAAAAAAATTGCAAACACACGCACACACACAGTCGCACAAAATTATACACACACGAATACTGTAGATGAGTAAAGCAAGCAAATTTACGCTAATTTCTTGTCATTATCGTGGAGCTTCACATAATTTTTCCCTTGAACAGTGCCAGACGATGTTCTGTCCTGTGGCGGCGGTACGTGTGGGTAGGACGTCGCAAAAGTCTTCTGGTTCGGTGGTGAACTTGGTGACCTATCATAATCATATCCTCTGTGGTCGTCTGCACTTCCAACTTTCTCTCCTTTCTGGCCTTTCCTGTAGTCTTCTTGAGAATAAACGTTTACAGCTCGTCTTCGTAGCCACTGTCTTGCTCCCCTCTGGCACATCAAAACGGGAAAAGTTCGCTGTTTTATGGGGAAATCAAGCAAAGTTTTCCCCAAATGTGCGAATTTTGTGAACATGTGCGCTGCCATCTTGGATCACAAAGCATAGTGGGAAATTTGAGGCTTTGCAGCCCTGTGATTGGTCGTTAGACCTGACCTTTCAACTGTAGGTCACTGACCTCTGAAGGGGTTGAAAATAAAGTTGACGCATCCATGGTTGAAGCAAGAAGCTTAAAAAAGCGAATTTTTGGTGTTTTGAAGGGCTAAAATGGCGGGACGACGGGCGCTTCACTTTGTCTTCAAAGTCGGAGATCGCAACACCACTGCAAAATTCTACAGAGACATACTGGGCATGAAAGTAAGTGAGCTTGTATTTGTAACATGGAAGCTTCCGGGAATTGGAGGGTCCCTTTAATAGTGCAATCCTTGGCTTCCTGAATTCCCCCATGTCGATATTCCTGTGGGCTTCCGGCCAGAGCCTCTTCCTGTGTCAGCCATCTTGACCTCCTGTCATTCTGACTGTCAACCTATAATCCCCAACCCATGTGCTGTCAACCTACTAGTACTCTATCCCGTCAAACAGACAAGCCCTACAGCTGGCAGCACAGCCACCCAAAACAATACTTCCTTATCAGAACAATACTTCAGTACAGTGTCATATAGCATTCATGTGGTCTCAAAAATTCATGATACTATCTTGTATATGTAGGTTAGAAATACGATATAAATTCCTAAGTAAAAACAGTGAATGTTATAATTTTTCAGGTCCTTAGACATGAGGAGTTTGAAGAAGGCTGCAAGGCATCTTGTAATGGGTGAGTACATAACTGTAGCGACCCACTTGACATCTTATATCCATATTGATACAATAACAATTTTATGTTTTTAATCCTCATTCACTGATAATGATTTACTTTGAATTGCAAATAATTGTTTGATTTTTATATTATCTATATACATTGTCTGACCAAGAAGGTTACATAGTCTTGACTTTTTCTTTTCCTTCCTTTGCTACTGTAATTTCAATTTTTTTTTGCAATGGCAGTATTGAAGGAATATGAATATGATACTAGACAAGTAACATTTGCAAAGCAAATGCATAATGTTTACCTTTGTACATGGTCTGCTCTGTTAATTCTTACTCAAACACATTCACATACATGTACTACTAGTATATGGTGACAGGAGCAGAGCAGACCATGAAATTGCAACATTACCCAACACCAGTCACCATGGTGACAGATGTCAACAAATCATGTCATTGGTAAGGTCATAGGTCTTTGTTTCACTGTTTGGAGAGGAAGAAGAAGAGGAAGAAACTGAGCAAAAACAATATGTTTTCCTTCGGTAAACATAAAAATGTGATGTGAATGCACCTGACAATACTCATAACATGGACCTCCATGCTCATAATAAAGATGATAATACTGTTGTTCTGTTTCAGACCCTATGATGGGAGATGGAGTAAGACTATGGTGGGGTACGGACCAGAAGACAACCACTTTGTGGTGGAGCTGACTTATAACTATGGTCTCAGTACCTACAAACTGGGCAATGACTTTCTGGTTAGTATTAGTCACTTGTTAGTATGCTTTGTAGCCTCCATAGCATGCCAAAAACTGGGGGTTTTGGGGGCCTTCAGGGTCTTTGGGAGTTTTTATGTGCTATTTTCTGATTGCATATAGACAACATAGCCAGCCTGGTTGAATTACCCCCGTTTTAGAACTGGGCTAATCAGAAAACAGCCGAAGACCACCAAACCCCCAGTTCTATAAGCCTGCTATGGAGGCTATATGCTTTGTAGGATTAAGTTTAACTGTACATGTACGAGTTCAAAACTGAAGACGTCTAGCTTGTAAACGGCTCTTGTTAAGACCATAATTCAATGTGTAAGTACTGTATATATAGTGTTATCTTTTCTGTCATGACCAGTAGAAGGATAGGTCATTACTGGTCCGAGGTTAGTGTGTTTTTAAGTTTCATGTCATTGAACTTAATATTTGTAATGTTCCTTTTACCTGGGATATATGTACTAGTTTAAGTGTTCTACACATTTTAGACACAATAATTTCAGACTACTAAGGAAGACCAGGGTGATTGGTCAAAAGCTCTAGGTGAGATAATTTTTTGTGTTGGACCAAAAGTTTTAGACAGTGTTCCACAAATTATTTTACTGCTACATGTTTTTTTAATGTTTTTTTTTCCAAACAAAGGGACTGACAATCAAGTCCAAAACTGCCATAGAGAATGCAAAGAAGCACAACTGGCCAATGACAGAGGATGAGACAGGCCGCTACATGACCCAAGCCCCAGGGGGGTACAAGTTCTACCTGCTGAACGAGGAACAGCCCAGTACAGGTCCACACTCTTATTGAGTCTTAACATGATTTTTTATTTCTAAGGCCACACCAATTTAATTTGTTGTTTTTTTCAGTGAAAATATTAAGCGACAGGGCGAAATAAAAAATAGTATTAAAAAAAAACAGGCCAGGGCATCCCATGAAGGCCGGAAATGTTATGATATAACCCAGGAAGTCAACATACCAGCCTGGTTTATAATTAAAACAATACATTTTGAACTTCTAATGAAAAGAAGTTGCATTGTTACATTGAAAAACTTTAAGAACTAGAAAAGGACTTTCTTCAACTGTTGGGGCCAAAATATGTCTTTCATTGAGCATTTCGCAGTTCATTCAGAACCTAAAATCTTTTCTTTTTTTTTTGCAAATCAGAAAAAAATGGACAGGGCAAATCCGAGAAACAACAAATTAAATTAGCGTGGCCTAATGAAGCCTGGACAACCCCACAGTAGTGAAGATTTTCCTAATAATGGATATTGCAAGGATAACGGTACAAGTGTTAATTCAGAAACGTTATGTGGTGATGTGCGGTGTACTGCTGGGATTAAAGCCCTGAAATGCCCCAAAGTTGTTGTTCTTGGAAAGGATAGTTCACACAAATGTCCACATTTCCACTCAGGTATAAAATCTGTGTTGAAGCCATGTTAATTGTTATACTTTTGAAAAGTTGGTTCTGTTTTCTTTTTCCAAAGCAGACCCAGTGCAGAAAGTTACACTGGCTTCATCTGACTTACAGAAGTCTGTGGGTAAGTACAGTGTGTGCTAATTATTTATTTCATACATCAATGGACATTCATAACAAGAAATCAAAGATCTCATGTCCCTCTGTGAAATATTCAGAGTTCTTCTGAATTTCTGTTTATCTAAGTGTTATGTGGCTAAAAATCTGCTATATATTGTTCTTACAGACTACTGGTCCACACTGTGTGGTATGAAACTGTACAGCAACAATGGAAAAATGGCTACCTTGGGGTATGGTGACAGTCAGGTACAGGAAAATGTTCACATCTACATGTACATGTATTCACCAACTTACAGTGCTGTAACGGGTCAAATTTCTTTTTCCTGCATTGTTGCACGTAACACATGAAGTATTAAGATTAATCATTTAATTAAAGATAGGGATGTTTTACATTTGGTTGTGAACAATTCATCAGTTCTAAGTTCTAATGAACATTGATTGTTGTCCTCAGTGTAAGCTTGAACTCCAGGATGTTGCTTCAAAGGTAGACCATGCCACAGCATTTGGGAGGATAGCTTTCTCATGTCCTAGGACCCAGGTAACCCAGATTTGGTCTCTAATGTTATACTTTATATCAGAAAAATGAATAAAATAAAAGTAAAATAATTTTGTACTTACTAATAGTTATCAGTTAAGACCCATAGTATGATCGTCTTACAAGTGCATTTTACTGAATGCAATCTTGGGAAAGTCATTCATGTGCCCTGCAAAATTTAGCTGTCTTTTTACAGAAAAGACTCTCCATATGTAGACTCTTGGACCTAAGTGTTTTGTGACATCAAATCATATGAAAATCTATGACGAATGTGTCCACACCTTTACATGTACAGCTTACACAGCTCTGCATCTGCAAAACTGTATAGAAATGGTAAAGGCTGCAAGTAGTTGGAAAAAGCAAACACAGTCATACAGATATTTTATAAGATAAAAATTAGCTGCATTGTTGTAAATGTATGAGATATTTTTGGTAGTTGTTCACAATGTTACTTCATTTGTCCAGCTTCCTGACATTGAGGGTGCGATGAAATCAGAGGGTCAGACCATCTTGACTCCACTGGTCAGTTTGGACACTCCCGGGAAAGCAACTGTGGAAGTGGTCATTCTGGCTGACCCAGTAAGTGGACTATAATTTATCACATTTACATGTGTATGTTGTTTTCTGAAACAAAAGGGCAAACAAAGGAAGCCTAAATTTTCAACTGAAAGACCATAAAATGTAACAAGAATTGAAGTGACAAAATATGGTATCACGGCCAACAAGTCTTTTATTTCTGTGTTCAAAAAGTGACACTAGTGTGATGGTCTAGTATCACTATAACAGTATAACTACATGTACACTCAAGGCTACCACACTTGGTGTCACTTCTACAACTCCACTCACAGTTACCTCAGTAATATCCCTTCTACAAGTACATTCAAAGTTACCAAATGACACAAGATATGTTTTCCACTTTCAGTTTTTTCTTGTCATGTTGACCATTCACAAAGAGGAACAAAATTTCTTGTTTCTTTTTGTTTTAAGAATCAGGCAAATATGTGCCCCAAATTGCCATCCATAGTTAGTATTTGCTGTGAACTAAATGAGTAAAAGGGCAGGCATGTTAGCATTCTGTAACTTGAGTATTTTTTACTACAGGATGGACACGAGATCTGTTTTGTTGGTGATGAAGCCTTCAGAGAACTTTCCCAGGTCGATCCCAAGTCTGACCAACTCTTAAGTGATGTATGTTTGTTTATTTGTTTGTTTCACAATAGCTGGTTAACAGTTTTGTACAGTAGGGTTCAAGCTGCGTAAGACAAGACAAGACTGACACTGGGTGATTCTAACTTAGCAACCTTAACCACAAGATCACCTTGCTATGTAACTTCATATCTCAATGTTCTCTCTTGGTTTCCAAAAGGAATTTTTGATTTCTGCATGTAACAATTTCTTAAACCATATGATGTTAGAATTTTGCTTAACATATTTTTATTTTATGACAATGTTTAGGACTGGTATTACTTTTTTTGAAATTCACTCATTGTAATATTGTTTTTCTGTGTAATTTATTGCATGTGGAGATATTTCAGACAGTTTTGTATTCATTTAGGTAAAACAGTACTGATTTGCAGTGCCATCAGTTGGCAATGATTGCTGTTTTACCATGTTTGTCTGTATGTATACACAATGCTTGTTTCACACTGTTGGTTTTCTGTGTTGTGTACAGGCCATGGCAGCCGACAAAAGTGACGAATGGTTTGCTAAGCACAACAAACAGAAGGCTTCAGCGTGAACAATGGGAAGGGGAGCTGCAGATCAGATTTTTGTTGTTTTTTTTTGGGGGGGGGGGGTTGTTTTGTGTGCATTGTCAGGAAAACCGCCTTTAGGTGTAACAATCCAGTTTTGTACAGTAGGTACATGCTCCGTAAGACCAGACTGTATAAGGGTTGATCCACTCACGCTGGGAAGAAACCATACTCTTTTTTGATGCAAATCAAATCAAATCAAATCAACTTTATTGCTCAACAACTCAAAGAAGAAACAACAAGGGTAGATACATGAGCTATATTAAAATACAATTCTAACAGTTCTAATTCAAACTGATTTGGTGTGGCAATGACAGTTTAATACCAGTTAGAACTGTATTCATTTGCCACCAAGAACAGTATATCATTATTATTATTATCTAACAGAGCTAATCCATAATGATACTAAAGCTAACTTATTGTTTGTTTTCTTGAGTAGACTATTATATATACATTGTATACATACATTCTATAATTCAGGATGTATGTTATTTACTTACAATATGGTGACGCTTTTGTACATGCGGATCTTTAACATGCTCAAGGTGTACGTCTTTACATACCATACAAGAGGATGTCTAACCGAAACTAGGTAATCATTTTCAACTGAGTTGAGTGAGGAAATAGGACACAACAATGTAGGGCCTGATTTAAACCCAAAACCTTTAGATTGTAAGTTAATATAAGATAAAATGATATAAGATGGAACATATCGTTAGGTATGCTTAAGTATTTAGTGATGCATAAAAGACTGTACATTTTGCTTGAAGTTTTAAATCTGAGTTAAGGCAAGCAGAACAAAGTTTTGTATCGTATGTATTTACACGTTGTATTGTCAACCTAAGATATTTAAACTTGTTTACTTGTATTTGACTTGACTACTTTCTTAAGGCAGTCTTTAAAAGAAATTATATTGAGAGTGCAGAAAATCACCATATGCATCTCATTCATCCACATATCTGTATAAGGCTATACTGACTTGATTATATATATGGATAACATATTCAGGGCATCCCACTGATGTGAGCATGCTTTCCTTATGAAATCTTTGTGGTTATAATTAAATGATTTGCCCAATATACAAATTTGTCACCTGCCAGCTAGAAAATATAACTGTACTTAAATAACACACAAAAACAGATAAACAGGACTGTCTTTTAGTGCTGAATATCACAGGTCTGTCAGGTTGGGCAGGTAAAACACTTTCGCTGGTCCTGACTTACTAAGCACTAAAACGGCCCCTTTCTACAGAAATCTCTAGAAGGCCAACTTAATACTCTTGCTAAGGTACCTTCTTTGCGTTTATGTCGCAGCAAGATGCAGTACTTCCATCTGTCACTGGGTGGCGTAGTTTCGGACAGGCATTGTGTTTGTGTATATGACATGTACATAAACCTGTGCTTAGTTGCATACATATAGACGAATCACTCACTCACTCACTCACTGTCCAGTGTTCAAAGTCAATCAGAAAATTATAAATGTCAGTAAAAATCCTGCTAAACCAGGGAATTTTAGACTAACACACTCATTTCTTATCAGATATCTAACTCAATATATATACAATCGCTTAGAATTACTTCAATTGGTGACTTATAATGCAGATGTGAAGTCATTGTTGTTATAGTTGGGGAAGTACATGATAATTGTTCCATAATGTTACAAACTAGCTGAGATAAACTTTCATGCTAGTCCATAAAGTTATTTCTTATTTCATCCTAGCCCTTCTAACTGCGCCTTGATGTCCTTTACAATGCCTGGTAGTTGTTCGTTGATATTCTCTACCTTCACACGACATTGTTTAACACCAGGGAGATCAGCTAATTCATTCCAGTTCTTCACCTTCTTTTGAAATATTTTCCAACCATTGTCGCTATTGATCTTCTCGCCCAGCAAAATGGGGAAGACTCTTATTTCCCGGGCATTTGCATAGCTATATTCATATTTCTGCCAAATTTTCTTTGGATTTAAAGCTGCGTTGCTTATTACCAAAACAAACAGTGTCACTGAGGGACTCTGAAGCGCATCATCGATTGTCTCTTTCAGTCTGTCCCCAATCTTCAAACTCATCTCATCGTAGAATATGGCACTCTCCGGGACCCCTTGTTTGATGAGCCCTGTCACCAACGGCCGAACAAATCTCTCTTTGTCCTCCGAGGCATGGCAGATGAACACTTTCCATTTTCCTGTGTTTGGAGCGAATCACATTAGCCTGGGTCTAAAATCACATTTGTCACACACAGGCGTGTAGTTGTTAGTATTAATAACATATCCATTCTTTCACCTACACCGAAATGGAAAGTACATGTAAAGAGTAACTACGTGTATGTTGACAAGAATAGAAGGTAGAACATTGAAAACAAATGACGAGATATGAATGTTAGAGTGGGTAATCGGTCAGCTATTTCTCAAAGTAAGGACGTTCATGCTGAAAACGCCGCCTTGCTCAAATACTCATGAAATTAGAGGGTACTTACCAACAGTTCTTTTCCTGTTATTGTAAATGTACCAAGTAACAAAACACGCAACGAGACCGAGAGCGAATAACGTTTGCGGACGCAAAAGAATTTCAAGCGCGTTTAGTGTGGTCTCAAAAAGCAGCCCTGGCAGAACAATAAAAATTGCAAATACTATTATTAGTATTATTGCTGTGCACGAGCATGGCATAGAAATGTGAAAATTGTTATAGGTTATATCAATCGACTCGGTGCGCCGTGGCGAGGATGAATAGGACGAGGTGGAGTCCGACTCGGCGCCACGGCGCCGTCTCGACCCCGCGTCCCGACTGCGCTGGGGATGCCCGGCACGATCCCGCCTCTTGGGTCTGTCAGCAAACGAGGATGACGAGCGTAGACGAGAACTGCGGCCCGCCGGAGACGGAGACCGCGAGGGGCTCGTCCGTTCTTCGTCAGACTGGACCTTTGTCTTGGACAAGCTAGTCATGATACTGAAAATCTCACTCGGAAACGTTCGGTCCACCCGCTTCGAGAAGGCCCGGTCTTTGCGTCGTTCCTGGACAGTTGATGTCTGGTCGTCATCGCTCGCCTCTGACCAGAGGCCCTTCGCCAACTCCTTAACTTTGCTAGCATGCCTTAGCTTCTTCCGGGACCGCTGGGCTTTCTCAATACGGCATTTACCCGGGCCGTAGGGGCCCATATGCCCCTTGACGGGCCAACCGCAGACGGTGCAGGCCTTCCGTTTGGTCATCCCGAAAATAGAGTATTGAAAACGAAAGTAAAGTGTTATTGAAAATAGAGACAGCCGTGGAGCCTCGTGTGTGACCTCGCCTAGCACCTGACCGAGTGTCAGATTTGAGAGGGAGACCACAAACGGAAGCGGTGCTGACCGGAAAACAGGAAAGCCGTGCTAAAGCGGTGCACAGAGCACAGTAGCGTTTGTAAATTAATAAAAATGACTTGCATAGGTGATATTTTTCTCAATGAGGTTGGCATCAGGTATAGCATTGTTGGGAGAAGCTCTCAAGGTCGCATTGCGTGTTTTGATATCGGCCATTTCCCAGCTGTAACGTTATACTTGTCTTTTGGCGGGACGCGGCGTGTACAATCAGCTGACCACTTTCGTACGTTGCAGTGTTGCGCTGAAGTGGAAAGAATACAGGATAAAATTTCACTTGCCATAATCCACATTATGTTCTAATATAACGCAACCATGTGTTTCTCACTTAACATTGTTTTACCATTACGTAAATCCCTATAATATATTTCGCGGTCGCGAGGGTATGACGTTACTTGTGTTGTATCCATGGCCACCATTTGTTATAAAGAAGCCAATTTGTTTATTTTGCCGTTGATATGCGCCATTAACGATCGTTATGAACCAAAAGGATCAATCAGAACAATTCGGTCTAGATACTTTAAAATTAAATCAAACAATATATGACGAAATGAAGATATAGACACCCTGTGGCTGTATAAGAAGACGGGTGGTTTCACTTTCATCGGTGTACAACAGTAGCCTCAAACATCACCGATTACTCTGACGTTTCGCAGTTAACAGTTCAACTTGAAGTAGGATGGGTAATTCTAAGAACTGACTTACCTTTTGCGTTCTTTCTATCCGAATTCATAGGCCACGAAAGTGCCCGAAACGAACCAAAGTTTGGCGGACCAGAGAAACCACCTTAAGTTCTGGCGTCGCACCGATGTGTAACTTGAAGGCCCACAATGGTTCCAAAGTTATCCAAGTGGTTAATTTAAATTTAGAACACAGGACTGGCTGCTGTCAGGAATATTTGTGGCGCTCAAAGATGTCACCGTTATTGCGTTATGAGGTATCCAACATTTTAGTCACATGAGGGTGACATACTACATGGTCAATTGCTCTCACCACATAACCGTTAGGCTATGGGGCCTTTGTCCGCGAGTTTGTAATGTAATCCGATAGCCCACAGGTGGCCCGTAGCTCTTGAACCTGGTAAACAGATTATAAACATTGCAGGTTTGAATTCGTCGACATAACGTACTACGCCTGTGCGAAACCACGCGGATTTGCAGACGTTCCGGGATTGGTCATGACCCTGGTCGTGTGTGTGTGTGTGTCGGTGTGTGTTTTCGGGGGGGGGTCTGATCAAACGGAGATCGCACGCAATAGAAGCCAAACCTGAATAGCTATATATAGTTTACGGGTTGGTCAAGGGGAGACAAGCAGTGGAAGGCTGTGTCCGCGGACAGTCGACTGGGCAGGACACAAGCAATGACCGCGCCATTCGGCTTTAACCGCATTGACCAACTAGCCTCGACACATCGGCTTTGATACTTAGAGATAACAATGTCAAGTAGCTGTTCAAGTAGCTGTTTTATTGGCATTCAAACAATGTGCACAGCTATAAACATATGCAAGTCACTCGCTATGTATACGGTTTACTGTTACTGTGTTATTATAATTAGGAAGTTACATTCTGCTATATTGGCTGGCTCGAACCACCATGGACGGTACAATATCTGCAAGGCTCGCACATCCTGTATGAAAGACAATATCGTGGTCAGACACAGGCAAGCTTAAAAATTCTTATCCAGCACTACGATATAATTGCAGTATACTTTTAAGTTTCTAGATTAGTTTCCTAGAATTTCTGTAGAAGTTTCCAAATCATATACGATTGTTAGGCAATGAAATTATTATCATCATTATTCAGGCGATCTGTATATACATAGCAGTTGAGAGGAAGCATAACAAATTGATGGCTGACAACAATTTCGTTTCTATTCTGCCATTAGGACTCTTGGGATCATGAGTTATATATTTTTGGCCTACGAAATGCGGCTGTGTAAAACATTGCTTGATAAAAAAAGAATACATTTACTGGTACTACCACCTATATGTCATGTGAAAATACGAAGCTGACAAAAGGATTTTGTAAAGTGTACCCGACAGAGCCATTGCAAGGCTGAATTCCTCTTTAAGAATGTTGAGCACCTTGGCCACGCCTTCTTCACCCTGCAGATATAGAAATGGTTACCAATTTGTAAAATAACCTTTTTCCTGGGACCTTGGACCTAACTTCCTGTCAGTGCCCCCGTAGTGCACAGTAAAAATGTATACGAGAACACAAGCTTCAGCTAACACAAAAACACACCAAGAACAAAACGTCCGTACACTGAGTTTAAAATATCATCATCATATTCAAAGTAATTTTATCAAAAGATGAGGACACTTACATCATAACACAGCCCCCATATAACAGGCCGGCCGACAAACACTGCCCTTGCGCCGAGAGCGAGAGCCTTGAGAACATCTGTCCCCGTCCGCACCCCACCGTCCATGTACACCTCTAACTTCTCACCTGCTGCCTGAACTATCTCAGGGAGGGCTTCTATCTACAAATACAACATGCAGTGATCATTCTATATTATATATAGTATACTATACTTCTAAATACATACAGATAAATCCCACTTCTGACACCATCTTACGGTTTGTTCACTATTCAACGGCCCTGTTGCAAAATGATAATATGATCTCAAGACATGCATGTTCTGTGTTAATCCCACTTCTGACACCATCTTTCATGTGCTTTGTAATCATACATTTTGCAATGCGAGGAAATTTCTGGTAACATGGTAGCTTACCGTAGCAGGTACGCCGTCCAGCTGCCTGCCTCCATGGTTGGACACCAGGATCCCGTCCACTCCATGCTGTACGGCCAGCCGAGCGTCCTCAGCCGTCAGGATGCCCTTCAGGATGATGGGAAGACTACAGATGGACCTCAGCCAGGCGATGTCCTTCCAACATAAGGCCGGGTCGTGTCCGCGATTTCTGACATGATCCTGTCAATAAAACGCAAATTTCATAAGATATGATATTTCATTTGGTAGGGAAGGCAAATTACAGACGAAATCTAGGCTGGCACAGAAATCCTCACCTGGACGACGTTCTTGCCGTAGTTGAGAGGCTTGAGATGCGGCGGAAGCTTGAACCCATTCTTAAGTTCCTGGTACCGCCTTCCCACATAGGAGGCGTCTACTGTCACCACTAGTGCCTTATAACCGGCCAGCTCCACTCTCTGTACCATCTTCTTGGTGGAGTCTCTGTCCGGTCGTACTTGCAGCTGGAACCACTTAAGACCTTCAGGACTGGACTTCATAACGTCTTCAAGTGTGGAGTTGGAGGATGTGGATGATATCATACACGTCTTCAAGCGAGTTGCGGCTGTGAGGATGATGAGGGACATGTTTCGTACTTTTGATACGATGGTACGGCGGGCGATATCGACTTCCACCAAACTTTGACTCTTTACTCTTTACGTCACACGCGTGCAAAAAGTCACTTGTCAGCAATTATGTCAGATAGCTAAAGACGAATGTGTCAGTCGAAAATTCCGGTAAATTTTATTTTTGAGTTGGAAAAAAGTTATCCACACCTTATACCAACTCATGACATCAAGGACATTATGCTCAGATGGACACCGACTTTCATTATAGTGGTACCTGAAGGGCTATATGTGGTCAAATTTAATTTTGTAGTTCTTCAAATCCAAACAATCAACTTGGGATGCGGGGGGTTACCTTTTGCTGCAGCGAGGTCGCCGTTAGGAGAGAAGAGACCGAGGGCACCCATAGGGCTAACTCCTATCGGCATGTCTACTCTCTGTCCCAGGACAGTGGTGGATAGGTCTCGCACCGACACGTCACGGAGGAACCTCGGTCTGAGACGAAGTCTGGCAGTTTGATATGATAAACACACAGACTCTCAATTAACATGACTGAAAACATACTTCCGTCCCGGAAATAAATACAGGGCAGTATATTACGCCTAATATAATCATGAGAACATCCCCTAAACCTGCTTTATATCAGCGATGTAGTCCGTATTTTAAGGCCTATAGTGACGCCCCGGAGACCTCAATGTTTGCTTTGAAAACATTTACACACACTGCCATGCTGAATTTCGTAGCCTCACCCGGTACCAAGGAGGCCTATAACCTACTTTCCCCACCTTTTGAACGCCGCCTCGTTTTCTCGCAGTGTTTGACACTTCCCGGCACCATTACTTGAGTAACCGCGTTCGTTCCTGCTCATATGAGCCAAGGCGTACTTCTCTAAATCCTTGATGCACACTACGGGATCAGACGACATGGTCCCTGTGTCCTAATAGCTTCTCTGCGACTGCACGTTGAATAGTCTTATAGAAATGGCCTCCTAATCGTTGTGTGTATTTGTACTGGTTAAACCACTTACAGGGACGTTTATACTTGACCAACACGTCAGTAGCTGCTATTTAATGTGAGTTGTAAAGAGGGCGTTCCTTAACTCACGGGACCTTAAGTTATGCAATCGGCAAGGGTTTGAATTTATCGGATGCGCTGGTGTACGTAAGAAAAGACCGCAATTGAGAAAATGTAATCATACGTTTACAATTGGAGAATGGCTGACAGTGATACAAAAGATAAAAGAAAAGAGAGAGATGCGGTTATTTTAAATGTCACTTTTAACTTACTAGTACTAGTACCTATTTTTTCAATGGAACAGTCAATTTGCTGTCGACTGTTTAAACTAGGTGAGAGGTGAAAGAGGGACTCCGCTATCGGACTTTGAACGTCTGGTAGGGTGACAATGTTCAGTACAATACTGTACAAATAAGCTGTGCGGCTTTGGAAAAAGAATGTTGTGTTTCGCACTTTTATTTGGCCCTGTGCCATAAGAACAATTTAATAATAGTTCATCATTACAAATTTAAAAGTACATGTACTGTATTTTCTAAATATTTTATTACACTTATATTTATTACACTGTACATGTATTATATTTTTCATTTTTTATTACATTCACATTTATTACTGTGCAATATTTTGAAATATTCTATTTCTCTCTCATTTTATTTTTGAGAAGAAGAGAATGTAGAACTACAGTCTGCTGTATTGACTTTCTCGTACCACTAGACCTGGAGTAATATCTCCTAAACTGCTACACCCTGCAAGACAAAACATGACAAGATAGACAACAATACTTTTGACAAGATTTAAGAGGGATGCATTGTTCTCAAAACACATTTAACACATGTTGTACAAAATTTTTGGTTACTTGTAGTTCCAAGTTTGGAAGTATTGTTCTGGGTGGGTGTGTTGTGTGAGTTTGTGCGTATGTTTGTCTGGTCAGAGTAGGCTGACGGCATGTGGGTTGGGGGGGATTGACAGGCAGACAGGAGTTTAAAAGGTCAGACACAGGAAATGGGGCAAACTTGTGGGTCCCAGACTTGCTCATGTGTACATTACGTTACAGCATGTACGATCGAATTTAACATAATATACATTAAAAGAACATATTTCATAGCACAGACAAGAATGTCTTTGACTTAAAAAAAAAGATAGCAAAATTATTTTACTGCTGGTTGAATGACATACCTGACAGAGCCATGGCTAGACTCAGTTCCTCCTTTAGGATATTGAGCACCTTGGCCACACCCTCCTGTCCCTACAAGTAAACAAAACAATCAAAATAAGTAGTGACCAAGATACTTCTTTAATTACCTGGATGCAGTTTCATACTTGTGAAAATTAAAATTAAATCAGTGTTAAAAAAAGGTCAAGAAATTTTTTTCATGTTTTGAGGTGAAACTTGCCTTATAACACAGGCCCCAGACTGCAGGCCGTCCTATGAACACTGCCCTGGCGCCGAGAGCGAGAGCCTTGAGAACATCTGTCCCCGTCCGCACCCCACCGTCCATGTACACCTCTAACTTCTCACCTGCTGCCTCAACTATCTCAGGGAGGGCTTCTATCTGCAAATACAACATGCAGCGATTATTCTGAGTACACTGTACTTCTGAATACATACAGATAAATCCCACTTCTGACACCATCTCATGGTTTGTCCACTCTTCAACGGCCCTGTTATCTTGCAAAATGATAACATGATTTCAAGACATACATGTACATGTTCTGTGTTAATCCCACTTCTGACACCATCTTTTATGTGCTCTGCTCTTAGTAATCACACATTTTGCAATGAGGAAGTTTCTGGTAGCGTACCACTCTTCAACGGGCTTGTCACAAAATGATAAGTTTATTTCAAGACATACATGTTCTGTGTTAATCCCACTTCTGACACCATCTTTCATGTGCTCTGCTCTTGTATGGTAATGACACATTTTGCAATGAGGAAGTTTCTGGTAGCTTACCGTAGCGGGTACGCCGTCCAGTTGTCTGCCTCCATGGTTGGACACCAGGATCCCGTCCACTCCTTGTTGTACGGCCAGCCGAGCGTCCTCAGCTGTCAGGATGCCCTTCAGGATGATGGGTAGAGTGGAGATGGACCTCAGCCAGGCCACATCCTTCCAGGAAAGTGCTGAGTCTGAGGACTGGTCAGGCCCTCCAAACCCGTAATCCAAAGCTTTGTTCCTGTCTTTCTTATTCTGGGAAAGGTTGATGGGAGGAAAGTTGAATGAATTTAATCTTTGTACTTAATTACATGTAGTTTCCTGTGCTATATTTTTGTTTCTATTAATCAATTTACAATTGATTGAAAATGCAAAACACTTCCCAGGGGTCCGAAATCTTTTTCAGTTTTAGTGCAATGACCCTTGACTTCTGCAATCCTCACCTTATTGAGATCAACATGTCTCAAGTTGGCCACTTTAAGATGTGGAGGCATGGAGAAGCCATGTCTCAAGTCAGGATACCTCCTCCCTACTATTGGCAAGTCCACGGTCAGTACAAGAGCCCTGTACCCGGCCCTCTCCGCTCTACGGACGAGCCCTGCAGTGGTTTCTCTGTCAGGACGTACGTATAGCTGGAACCACTTGAGTCCATGAGGGCTGCAGTTCATGATGTCTTCCATGGTGAAGTTGGAGTAAGTACTGCATATCATACAGGTCTGGAACTGGGCTGCAGCTAGAGGGGGGGGGGTGAGAGCAGTTTTCTGGATTATCAAAGTGGGCTGTTCAGGTTACATAAACAATCATCTTCAACTGAGGTAAAGTATTTTGACATATTTAGCCAAATTGTAGCAAGGCACCAGGCAGCTTCTAGCTGATGAAGTGACCACATATTACTTTGCTACGGCTCATGTATTTAGCCATCCACATAGGGTCATTGCTAATCTACTAATGATAAGTGTGTTGGGTTCTTTTCTGATGAGTAGAGGTTTGAAGCTCAAGATGCTGAAGCCTGAAAATTGTCAGGAAAAAACAAGGACACTTTTAAATAAGGAAAAACTTCTTGGCAAAACTTAATTCTAAATCTAAGTTCCTATGGTGGCAATCTTAAATCTGACCAGCAAAGAGATATGATGTATAATATATTATATACAACACAACCTGAAACTCTGGTTAAATTATATCCTCATTGAATTAATGATGTTTGTTCATCTTTCATCGATGAAGACCTTGACCTCATTGATATAACTTACAAGGTACGACATATACTACCTTTGGCTGTTCCAATTTCCCCCTCTGGAGAGGCCAGGCCCTGATTGGCTGTGGGGCTGATGCCGATGGGCATGTCTATTCTCTGTCCCAGGACGGTGGTGGACATGTCTCGTACCGACACATCTCGTAAGAACCGCGGTCGCAGACGGAGCCTGGAAACAATGCAGAAAAACAGGAAGTGCTCCTACTTACTAGTACGATGTACTACAATTTGAGTTTTGTAATTCTTAACTATTATTACCCTGCCTTCCTGAATTCCTCCACATACTGCCCACTTCCCATCCAGCACATGCTGGTCACCTACAGGTCTCACCTCCCTATCAATCAACTGTAAAAATCACCTCCCACCCACCTCCATGATGCAACTACAGCTATTAGGACAGAGACACAAACTTACAACTCAAGTAGTAACGTTAATGATGCTAAGACATTTATCAAATGCTTTGACATCACCATCTTTCTTGAGTCCTTGGTACCAGTATTACAAGTCAAAAATTTATTTGTCTTTAACTAAGTAGAGGGCAGATTCCCAACATTTAACGTTACCTTCTGAATGCCTCTTCATTATCCCTCAATGTCTGACACCCCTCCGCGCCTGCTGAGAAGAACCCCCAGGCGTTCCTGTCCAGGTGTTCCTCCGCGTACTTCTCAAAATCCCTCAAGCACACCAGAGAATCAGACGACATTTTCGTTTTTCTTTTTAAACCCCCTAGACCTCCTTGCCTTGGTTGTATCCGTACTTTGTAGTGTCTATGACAATTTGTGAACGATTACATTTACGAGTCGAGACGTTTATTGGAAAGATCAATGAGGTATATCCTCATTGAAAAGTTTAACCTTTCCCTATAACCTCATTACTTGAACTATAAACTTTGCAATCGGTGACGCAACATTACGCACCTACGACAGGAATGTCGCACTGGGTGAAGGGGTTGGGTCAGCACTTAAAATCTATTTTAGAAGTTATTTTTATATTCTAGAAAGCCGATTAAAACAAGAAGGCATCACTCACTTGTTTGTATTATGGTGAAATGTATTTAGTGATCTGCCAGGCTAATATTGAAATAGTTGGCATTTCTTAGAATAATCCCCCCTATAGAATGAATGGACTCTCTGAAATTGGCTATCTGACCTTTCACCCCAATATGGCGCCGCGGGAAATATATTTTCTTTCGAAATCTACTATTTTGCCGTAATCTCTGTCTCTGTCGCAGCCCCTACGGACAATGTTACGTCTTTTACACAGAACTTGGACAACAAAGCATTCTAAGCGCATTCAGAATGTCATTGCGTCTAGGAGATACCATTTCAAGACTGGTTATTCGGCGGAACTGACGAAGACATTCACTGCAGACGACGTTTTGACATTCGCGTCTCTGTGTGGGGACAAGAACCCGCTTCATCTAGACGAGGAGTACGCAAAAACAACCCGCTTTGGGCGCTGTATCGTCCATGGGGTTCTCATCAACGGGTGAAGTTTTGTTGATATTATAAAGCTATCTTCCCCGATAAAAGGGGGTGGTTTTGTTGCTATCATGAAAGTTCATCTGTGTTGGTAGTTACATGTTCAAAGTTAAAACTTTTGGTCCAACACAAAAATTCTCTCACCTAGTTCTTTCGACCAGTCACTCTGGTCTTCCTCAGATACCTTTGACCCAGTGTTGACGTCACACTTCAAAGAAGCCACGTGACAAGCCTCACTGGGTCAGTCTACTGAGAGGGTCTGCATGCCCTTTTTCGTTAACCGTTATGGGCTATTTTAATCGTTGCCGGCCTGCTCTAATTCAACGTTAAGCGTTGCCGGCCTGCTCTAATTCAACGTTAAGCGTTATCAGTATATTCATCGTGAAACGTTATTGGCCGTTTTAATTCAACGTAAAACGTTATTTGTCATCCTAAATTCAGCGTTAAGCGTTAATGAATAATTCTTCGTTACGCCTAAAGGACCGACAAACACTATCAACACCATGTTTTGCCCGTCAAAATGCGGGAAATTGCATTTTTGAAGGCTTAAAATCCTAAATTTTCCGGGGGAGCATCCTCCCGGACCCCCCAGATTACGAGCGCCTTCGGCGCTCCACTCTTTTATGGACGCACTCGGGGACCAGGGCAGTTGGTAAACACAGGGAACACATACCTTTAATGCGTGCTTCATTACATGTAAGGTATACGTAATTTTGTCAGTGATCACCTTTTCTCACAAAGCGAGATATATACCAAATCCAGTGCAGCTCGAAAAAAAGCCTGTCAATTTACCGTTAAGCGTTGCCGACCGTCCTGAATTTACCGTTAAGCGTTATCGGCCCTGCTGAATTTACCGTTAACCGTTGCCAGGACCCCCCCATGCAGACCAGAGTGACTGGTCGAAAGACTGCTGAGAGAATTTTTGTGTTGGACCAAAAGTTTTAACTTTAAACATAGTTTTGTTGCTCTTAAGCTGTTTTGATCATTTGATATAAGTTGTTTTTATATAGGGACAATATATATATATATATATTTACTGTGACATACACCTTTGCATATTAATTAGTTTTAAAGGGATTCCATGTGCAATCCTTGGCTTCCTGAATTCCCCCATGTCAACCTCTAACTCATGCCGGCTCCCAACCAGAGCCAAATTCCTGTGTCTGACCTTTTTGACTTCTTATCGTTTTGCCTGTCAATTTTCCCTATCCACCTGCTGTCAACCTTAGTACTCATCCCAGACACACAAACCCACAGCTAACCACTCAAAACAATACTGCCATACCCAGAAGTAATGAAACACAAACAGTTTAAAAACATTGACATGAAAAGTTATGTATAATATGTTGATTTTGCAGGTTGATATCTGCAGTACTGGGGACCAAACTTCCAGGACCAGGGGCAATATTCGTGTCTCAGGACATCAAGTTTCCAGCTCCATGTATGTTCCAAACACTATTCAACTACTAAAAAGTAGTTAATTTCTGTTTAACACTGTCTGCAGAGCAGTATAAGACAATAATATTAGTGTTACTGATTAAGCAGAATTATAGGAGAAAGTTTTACCTTCCATTTAATTTTCATTGTGGCACTGAATGATTTGCCAAAGCAGTTAGCGTTTAGAAAGTAAATTAACTCAAGAATAATCTGGCTGAGTTCACTGTTATAATTTTTAACGTCGGTCAACCCATCTTCAAACAGTAATGTGTATATAGATGCTTAACTGTAATACAATTAAACCTGCGCAACAAGACATGTGACCATTATAGACAATATTCTATTTGGTTGTGTCAATCCAGATCGACCTACCTACAATCTTTAAGAGACTACCAAAAAGTGATTGAAGACTGGAAATGATTGGCCAGGTGGTCACACGTACTGCATGTCCCAATCCAATCACAATCAACTTCATTTGTACCAATGAAAATGACTGATTGTTGATGTCTGCCAGTGCCATAGTTGCCAATTGGTTAAGATTGTTTGTGCAGGTTCACATGTATTCTCAATGCACTGTTCTCATGCTGGAAAACAATGTCAGAATGGGGCTTAAAATTAGAATAAGTTTCATGATGTTCTCTTGTGCCCATCCACAGTGTATGTGAATGAGTCTGTGACTGCAGCTGTGGAAATCCTGGACATAAGGAAGAGTATAGTGGTGTGTTCAACAACATGTACAGCAACAGACACCAAGAAGGTTAGTATAACCTACTCATCCAGACAAACAAACCCACAGCTAACCACTCAAAACAATACTTCCATACCCAGAAATAATGAAACACAAACAGCAATTACAGCAGTTTTAACAGTACTGTTATAGCATACATTGTATTTTAAAATGCATGACCCTTTCTTAGGTGTAATATTGCTTTCTAAGGGTTTCTTTTTGTATGGTATCTAACAAGGATGCAATATTCCTATCAATAGTACCTGTTAGAGAATGGCCATCTATAGGAATGTTTTGGCATCATTGTATCAATTTCAATATGTTATCTTCTTTTTCTAGGTGGTCATGTCAGGCAAAGTATTCTTGATGGTCCCCAAGGATGGACAAAAAGGAACATGAGGCAGACAAAATTGTTACAGTTAATTTATTGCAGGAAGACACAATAGACAGGAAAACAGACACTAGCAGTAATTTACAATTATAGCAAGATTTTTGAAGATGAATTAAATGTACAAACTGCAAGAATGGTTGCTTAACTTGCTATATTATCTAGTAGTATCTAGAAAATATACCAGTAAAAGTTAGTCCTAAGGAAATCAAAGTACATGTAATTTTTTTCTGACATAAGACATTTTTTGGAACAGCATGGAGAAAACAAGGCCTAGAAGAAATGGTTACTGACTGCAGTATGGCCACAGCAAGTAAATTTTATGGATGACATCATTTGCAGTCTTCAAATCTAGTGCGAGAGGGAGAAAAAAAACCTGGGTCAACGTAAACAAGATGGCTGAATTTTTAAAATAGAGACCATTAAAAACAACTGAAGCAAGAATATATGGTACCACAGCCAACAAGTCTTTTTTTCCTGTATTTAAGAGGTGCAGAAAGTAACATAAGTGTGGTAGCCTAGTGTCACTTCTGGGACATAGAACAGTTAGAATTTTAAAACAAATTTTCCCAGTTTTGGTATTCATCTTGTCTCATTACCGGAAAACATAATTTTTTTTTTACTCAAAATCTGACAAAAAAATGTGGGCATGGATGTCATCCATAAAATTTACTTGTTGTGGCCTAAACAAGGAAAACATTGCTACATGTCAAGGAAGTGTGCCTGGCACCCAACATTCTCTATTAATAAAATCTTTTTGTGACAAAGAAACCACTTCATGCATTACATACATACATGTACATCACTTGACACTGGTATACAGCTTTAACGGTGGGTTCTTAACACAGAAATTTCATTTTAGAGAAAAATGAAAGAAGTGTTTTATAGTTCTGCCAATTCTATTTTTCTTTGGCCATACATGTATTTTCCTTTAAAGTTTATTCAAAGTAAAAATACACAACTGAAATTTAAACTTTAAGAAAAATGTCTGGTAAGAAAAGACCATTTCCGAAAGGGGCATTATAATAACTTTTGAATACCAATGAAAGAAGCTGACCTCTTGAGCATTTTCTGAAATGTTTTTCAAATCCTTTCCTTTGGTACAATTCAAATATTGCTGGTTAAACATATACACATGTAGTGCTACCAGTATATATTTTTACTGGTGTACCAGTTAAGTTACATGCAAAATATACAGGACATTCAGTTTGACTTGGCAGAAATTTTTGCTGATTTTTCAGCAGTTACACCAGGAAAAAAAATGAAATGAGGTGAAAAAGATATGCTTGTTGTCTGGGTATCTGAAAGACCTGTGTGCCTAAGGCCACAGCAAGTAAATTCTATAGATGACATCCTCCGCAGACTCCAAATCTAATGCAAGCGGGTGAAAAAAAAACAAGGTTCCTACATTTTGAAATGTTGACTCAATCATTGTACAAATTGTTTTGATTCATCACATCACATATTCACATATACAAAGCCTGCATCACATATCACTGCATCAAAGTAGGAAACAAAACATTAATTCAGAGCCTTTTCTTCTCTCCTACACGTATCTTCATAGTTATCTGCCATCCACCTTCCGGCATGGCAACAGACATGTTTGCCCATTTTCGGCATGTTGACCACTGTCAGAAGGCAACTAAATTTTTTTTTTTTCCAAAATCAGGCAAAAATTAATGCGCGCGCTGATGTCATCCATAAAATTACTTGCTGTGGCCTAATACATTTTAGATACAAATCCAGACCTGTACCAGTGTTATACATGTAGCCAACTGTCTTTTTTAGTGGTAAATTGTGGTCCTGGTATGAACTTATAATACTTTAATCTAAAAACTAGAATATTTACATGTTTTACTGATTCTCAACTGTCATCTTTGAGATGCAATGTACCTGTACCTTTAGTGTACAAAAAAATGATGTTCGGTAGTGTTTTATTTGGTTCAGGTACAATGTACATGTACACCATAATGTTCAGGTATGGACAGGTACATGTATTAGGTACACAGCCCTAGTAACAAACTCATATTTGCTCATGTTTTATACATACCATTGCTACAACAGGTAGACACAGTAGCATTTTCTTAGCACCTTGTACAATAAAAATGGTGCTATGTAACCTGACATGTTAGTAGTCATAAACTCAGGTGAACACACAATATACTATCTCCTTGGAATGTCAGGGAAAAACTATCTAATTAAAGAATACATAGATGTACAAATTCATTGTATAAATCTCCTTCTATGTACAAATAAAACTACTCTTGAGGTATGGACATCTTTGAGTCCTTTTTTCTCATGGAATTTCCTTGGAAAAGAACCAGCATAAGAGTATGTAAAAAAAACTATACATGCACTTAGTCTATGTTGTCTGTTTATCTACAGGGAAAAAATTAAACTATACAAGTAGATACCAAAACTAGCATTTGAAGGGGACTTGATAGAAAGCTTCCATGCAGAGTTTGAACCATTGATGGTGTATTTCTTTTGTCAAAACTTGAGACCAAGCCATTCAAGATGGTGGGTGGGGGGAAGGCCTCAAAATTAACTTTTTTTCCTATTGTCCCAGCACTGTCCCAAAAATAAATTTCAATTGTCCCAAAGTGAGGATGAACTGTCCCAACCTGATGTTCAGCAAGTGAACTTGAAGTCAGTTTTTTTTGCTTACGTTCTGACTTCCATGCGCTCTATAATTGCGTAGTAAATGACAATTTTGGGGAGCTTTTTCCCGGAGCCAAACAAAAGAAGGGCTGACATGCTGATGTTCATTTTTTTTCCGTTGTCCTCAAAATGTCCCAAATTGTCGTTTTGGTTGTCCCAGCTAAAATTTTAGTGGTCACTGGCCATCGGGACGCCGTTGATTTTGAGCCCAAATTTGACCGCACGGTGCAAATGCACAGTTTATAAACCATGAAACAGCTCATAGAATAACAATGAAACCATTTTAACACGATGCTAGACTGAATTGGACCTATCGGTAACTGAGAAGTGTGCAGAAAATATGCTAGTAAGAAATATTAGTAACACTTGAACATTATGCTGGCTCTTTCACCAAGGAAACAGTAACATCACAGAATCCAGAAACCTCAAAACAGCACAAAAAATCAAAGTTCCCACTTTTCACGTACTGAACAATCCTTTGCAATGCCACCAATTTTGGTGTAATAAAGGTAACGGTCTAGGCCGTAGGGGCAGTGGGTTGTTGATCCACTGTGTCCAGGGTATGGTATTATTGGAAGGTGGAGCCTATCCCTCTTCTTCTACCGCCTTTTACCTCCAAACCGAAATAAGGTGAGGAAAGTCGTGTCCAGTGCCTTTCCCAAGGACACAATGTCTGGGAATCGAACCCATGACCTCTCGGTCTCCTGTTCACTAACCTTACCACTTGACCGTTTGACCCCACCGCATCCATTTTGACCTATACATTTGTTTTGGATTGTTCCAATTTTCAGTGGGGAAACCAGGACTTTTTGAACAGTTTGAGGGTGGATTGTTGCAAGTTGTGGTACCAAAAATAATTATGTCGATGGAAAAAAAATGCCAGGCTATGTTGCTCTCTTGCGGATGGAGTATTTTCCCTTCTGTAGCTGGCTGACGTAGACTCGGAACTTGGAGTTGTCTGATAATCTTCTCACCCAAACCTGGGAGGACAGAATAGTTACAGAATTTACAAATACATGAACAAGATAAACACATCAGACTAGTCCAGTCTGTCTATCACAATTAGCTGCTCAACCAATGATAGCTTGGAAATTAGTTGTTCAACCAATGATAGCTTGGCAATTAGCAGCTCAACCAATGATAGCTTGACAATTAGTGGTTCAACCAATGATAGCTTGACAATGCATTAGCGGTTCAACCAATGATAGCTTGGCAATTAGCGATTTGACCAATGAGAAATAGTAATCATTCACTGTCTGTTTGAAAGTAGAAGACAAAGGTCTCACCTCATTCTGTCCAACTGAGCTGATTGTTCCACTGATTTTCCCGTTGTCTTTAGACTCTACATACACTGTCTGGCCTCTGTGGTACCTACAGGTGGAAAAAGGCAGGTTTACAAAAATAATTTCCAGGGGGAATAAGAAACTTTGTCTTAGGCCACAACAAGTAAAATTTATGGATGACATCCTCCGCAGTTACACAATGCAATTCTGTAAACAGTATGCTGATTCTATGATAGATTACATGTTAAAAAACGAAATCGTCATCCCGACTTGAGACCTTAAATACAACCTACCATTTCTTATCATAAAATAGTCTGCCCTCCTCGATCCTTGCATCATAGCTGTTGATCGGTGGGGAGGGGGGACTGACTGGAGGACTGATGTCTGGACATGGAAACCACAACAAGTTAAAAAAAACTCATACATGTACATCAAATCTGTTTATGTCCCACTGTTCTTCCATTTATTGTGGATCAGACACAGTGTTGGTGCGCTGCAGCGTTTTAAAATGCTGATGAACCAGCCTAGGTAGACTGTAGCAACAGCCTGTTATGTGCACACTTATGTATCAACACCTTTGACGCCAGGTGGCGCAAACTGTCCTGTTCATTTGTCAAGCACCTTCTCACATCGAGAAGCAGTATTGTGTACACGCTTTGTCATTCCGATGTGTTTACACGAAGCCTCTACTGGCCGCACTTTTTTAACATCTGTATGTAACTTGTGTATTTGTACTTGTTTTTGTGTTGTCCCTGTTTTATATGGGCCTTCGGCCTGAAGCAAAGAATAAATAAATAAACAAATCTCTGTTGGAATACACTGTGCAATGGAAGGTGCTTTCATGTTTGGTCAACACTTTGGGCCAAAATGGCCTTCCAGAGACTTCCAAAACAAGGAATCAAAGATTTCAGACTTACAGATGTATCTTGGGTTTTCCTAATCAGACCTTTAGGAAGGTCTTTTTTTAATGTATTGGAACTGTAGAGGGGGCTGTGTGATGTACATTGTTTTAATTCAATCGGCTATTACACTACTTTCTGAATTCTGCGACATGTCTATGCTTGGCTGACTTCTGGGTGACCACCTTATCCATCAATCATGGCCAAAATCACCTTCCACCTACCTCCCACCCTCCTTATCAATCTATCATGGCCAAAATCACCTCCCACCCACCATCTAAAATTGCTACGCCAGCATTGTTAGGAAAATAAAACAGCTTATTCATTTCTAGGTACTAAACCAAATTCCAAGTCATTTTACTCGTACTACCCAATACTTCTGTAACACTGAAATTTCTATTACTAGGGGTCAAGCATTAATTTCTGAGTCACTCCAACTCAATATTTTGTCTACCTTGGGAAGGAAAACAATTTCAACTTACGTATTGATTTCTTTGATGAGAGTTTCCCCTGGGGAAATAAAAGGAAGTGGGTGATGTTAGAATTGTTATAGCTAGTATCATAATGCATTTAATATCACATTATCATATCTAAACTTATTAGCGCAAAGGCAACATCACAAAAACAGTAATTTTCATGATCATAAATTGTTGGGGGGGTTACAAACTTTCTTTTTACCTCAGATATATTAAAAATTTCTATGCTAGGAAATAAATTAAGTAAACAAGTTGTTTACAAAACAATTTTGTTTACTAACTTTGTTGACAATCCTGAGATCTTCCAGCACGTCATCGTCAGACAACAACAAGTTCAACTGTGGAGCACCTAGTGAGGCAACTGTTAAGGATATTACAGTACATCAAGCAAACATCTACAAATGTATCAACATACTAGAAAGGTACAAATGTATAATGGTTACCTTCGCATATGATCTGCTGTGTTAATTTTTACTCAAACACATTCATATATATGGTGACAGGAGTCTAAAGCCCTCCTGCTATAAAATTGCAACATGATGAAACCCAACACCAGTTACCATGGTGACAGATGTCTAGTTCAGGTCATTAACCTTTTTTGTATGGAGAAGAAGAAACAGAACAAAAACAATATGTTTTGTTCTGCGAAGGTAAACATAACTAAGGGAGTATCTTTTTTCTTCTCTTTTTTAAAGACTTTGGTGATCTCTAGTGATCCAACTTATACAATACAGTTTAACAAAGTAAAACTTGTAGACACTTAAATTTTCAATGTCAATGTTAGAAAAACCAGTATTATTTTGATCATGAACTTAAAACACTTGGAAAACGTCCTTTCTACTCCTAATGCGAAAATAAGTTAACAATAAATGATGCATAAACTCAGTAGTGAAAGGATATCAGGAGAAGGTTTCCTTCTCTTGTCAGGGATGGGCAGGGGTTCGTTGGGTCTTCTCCTCAGCTTTCTGGTCAAGACCGGTTTGACCTCTGTAGAATCTGAAAATCCATCATAATCCAATTAGGACTGTTCCATTTTAAACTCTCAGGAGGGGTGGTCGGTGGGTTTATTTTTACCTCCTCTCCTCTTTTAGTTCAATAATGTGCAAATCAATGACTGTTTCAAGTTGACATAAAACAAACAAGAAATCAGTGATTTTGGACATGTGGATTTTGGACAAGGAAATATGCAATCCTTGGCTGCCTGAATTCCCCACATGTTACCCACTCTGGATCTGGCCCAGATTCTGAGACCTTCATGTTCAACCTGTCTTTTGGCCTTATGATGTCATTCTGCCTGTCAATCTTCCACCCATGTTCTGTCAACCTCATGTCTAGACAGGCAAAAACCCACAGCTCAGCAGCCCAAATAGCTAAAAACAATACTTCTGTACTCGGAGGTAAAAACGATTCAAAGGACTATCCATGCTATTCTTTAGTATATTAGGTAATGATATGCAAAGAAAAAATATCTCTGTACCTCCAGTCAGTTCCATGGTATTTCTCTCGCTCTCGATCATTCTTTTTCTCTCCTCAAGTTCCTGGATCAGACTTTCTTTCAGCTTTATTTTCTCTTCCTGAACAGATGTAAGAAAAAAAACACACAACATGAAACATAAATACAGTCAAACCTGTACTAGCGGTCACCTTTGTATAGTGGTCACTCGGCCATAGCGGTCAGTTTTTGCCGGTCCCTTGAATTTTTCCCATTGACGTAAGCATTAAGAATCGTGTCTATAGCGGTCACTGTTCAACGCGGTCAGCGGTCACCCCATTCCGGTCCCGCCGGCATGTCAACACCGCCGATAGCGGTCGCGGCGACCAAAAACGGAAAGTAACTGGCAACTGACGAACAATTACTTTGCTGTTAACTAAATAGACAGCATCTTGGTACAAAATAACTTATTTATGTGGTTGAAATTCGCTGTGGCGTATGTCGGTCGCACGAAGCAAGTGTTCACCAAAGAACAAAAACATGGCGATGTCGTTCTCTTCCACTTTTCGACTAACAACAACAACAACAACTAGTGGTAGCGTGGCGATTGCGGAGAAACGACGGCGAAAGCGGAAAGACGGACGTCGAACTTATTCCAAAAGGTGGAAGTGATCCGACTGGCAGAGAGAGTGAGCTTGAAGAAATCGTCGAAAGCTGAGCTTCGATTAAATGATTTTGCAGTCGATAGAAATTTGTTTGCAGTTGAAAGTTTGTTGCTTGATTTGCTTTCTTTTCTTTAGCCACATGTATGTACACAAGAACAGTAAATGACAACCAGTGATTTTGTATGTTTTAATGTGAATGGTTTCATTGTCCCAGAATAGATGAACTGAATATGTTGAGTGTATGTATCTTTGATGTCAAGTTAATGTTTCCATGCAATATTTCTGTATTTCTTTTATTGAACTAAGACATGTACATATTTTTGTTTGTTTGTTTGTTTCGCATAACCGGTAAACCGCCTTCAGGCGTAACACACCAGTTTTGTACATGTGCGCACATGTACAAGCTGCGTAAGACCGGACTGTAAGTTTTGAACCACTCACACCGGGAAGATCCCCTACTCTTTTCGATAAGTGCAGTGGGTTCTTTAACGTGCATGGGTGTGGCTCTCCCAAACACGGGACCTCCATTTAACGTCCTATCCGAGGGACGTCCCTAACCGAAGCTAGGTACTCATTTTCACCTGAGTGAAGTAAGGAAAGTCGTGTAAAGTGTCTTTCCCAAGGGCACAAGATCGGTGACATGGGCAGGGTTCGAACCCACAACCTCTGGGGTGTGAGCCGAACGCGCTACCGACTGCGCCACACGACCCCCCCATATAAAAGGGGTTTACCTTTGCAAATGTATGTATTCATATGTTTCAGAATAAAGACATCACTGTTGGTACTCAAAGCATGTGTCCCTTTTTTTGGGGGGAGGGGGGGGTCAACTAACCGGCTGTTTCTCTATAGTGGTCACCTGGCCATAGTGGTCAAATTTGGCCAGTCCCTTGAGTGACCACTATAGGCAGGTTTGACTGTATACAAGAGAGTGTGATCACTGTATCCACACTTGTTACTGTAGTACAGTTGACAAAGTAAACCTATAGATTAAGTTTGTCATTAAAAAGTGTCATTCCTGGCTTAGGCCACACCAATTTAATTTGTAGGTTCTCGGATTCGCCTCTTCATTTTTGTTCTGACTTGCAACAAAAAAAAGAAGATTCTGGTTCTCAATCAACTCAAATATGCTCATATTTTGCCCTGTTGGCCCCGAGAACCAAGAAATTAAATTGGTGTGGCCTAACTTTTACATGCACAGGATAGTGACTTAGCACTATGAAGACCTCTCTTTTTCTTTTCCCATACTTTTTTCAAGTGTCAAGCATGATGCTTTATAATAGGCCTCTTAGTTACTAGTATTCACAAAGAGTGTTGAAGTTTACTCTATGACTGTAGGTTTTGGAAGATGTATAAAAGAAGAGTAACTCACATCAAATTCTCTGACAGCATCTTTCTTCTCCTTGATGTACTGTTTTTCCACTGTCTCAATCTGTCAGGAAACAAATACTGGTTTAGTACATCCTAACTTTATCTAAATACAGTTATCATTGTAATTTAAGTACATGTACTGGAAAGAGACTGAACGATTTCTGAACTGGTTGTGATAGAAAAGACAGACAATATGCAGGAAATTCCCTTAGTTGTAAATAACATGTTTTCGATCAGTAAAATGAACAGTGGACCATGGTGTGACATCCTGTCTTAAGGGCTGCAACCCTTTACATGGCCAGTAGCATGCATGTTGGGTAAGCGACACAGGATTCGAACTCAGGACTTCTTGTTCCAGATTCTACAGGCAGGGCCACTGGACTACCCCATATGCATGCTATGGGTTGGATACAGGATTAGGAAGTAGCAAAAGGGTTCAACTTTGCCTTCAGTTTCTGTATGACTTACTTCAAACTGTTGGATGATTTCTGCCATCCAAGACCTCTCCTTGTGCTGGTTCTCCAGTCTCTTTAACCTCTTCAGGTACTCCGGATGCGAAGCTAAGGAAACAGAAAAAAAACACTCAGCATGAGACAGGGCCTGAAGCCTAACATTTCAAAAAAGGCAGTTTTGAAACTACAAAGGCCGACATTTACTCGGGAGCAAATGCAGCACATGGCTCCCCCCTACCAAAAATGGACATACCCAACTGCGTATACCTCTCCCGCACAAATGGACTGTTCCTAAATCAACCCTGTCCAAAATATGAAGAGTTCCAATAGTCTATACCCCCATGCAGCAATGGAATCTTCCAACGCCTTCTGCTGTTGGAACATGTAGAACCTGGTAGAACTTGGTGATGTGGTGAAGCCATAAAGATAGTTTGGTTTCTATCCATGTGACACATAAAATTTGTACACTCTGGCTTTATCCATTGTTATAATTTTACTGTATTGTAACTAAACACTCTACATATAACAGAGAGTAAAACAGAGATGTGCTTCTGGTACATGTATTAACTCAAATAACATTGTGTACCATGCTGGTTGAGCTCCTCTAGTTGTTTCTTCAAGTGTGCCAGTTTTTCCTTGTAAACCCTGGAAGAAATCAGAACATACATCTTTGTACACAAATTACATGTAATGTAAATCCATTCTATTCACAAAATTAATTTGTAAAAGTCGAGAAACAAGTAGGAATTGCGACCCAGTACAAAAATGTATCAACATACATGTATTCACATTTTGAACAAAAAATGTTAAACTTTGGCAAATGTCGTTATTTTGCATTTACACATGTACATACTGTTCTTTCATCTCAGTGTGTTGCTCCTCTCTCTTGACTTGATCTGTCTCGCTGGCATCTTCTGTATCTGTGCGGGAGACAAAACTTCCTCATGAGCCTATCTTAGTCTTAGTCTTGCATTTGGTCTTTTACTGTTTTAGTCATTATTATCATCGGCTGCAGTGCAGTATGTAGTTTTCAAAACTCTGTAACAGTGGGGGGTTTATAGGCGCTACCAACTCATCCAGCCAATGGGTCTAGACCTTTTAGCGGAATGGTTAGAGCATCTGGTTATGAAGCTCTGGTGCCCGGGAGGTCGTGGGTTCGAACCCCGGCCTGGGAGCAGTGGGACTTTTACTGGCTCCTCCTGTTTCTTACAACTCACTCAGTTTTCAAAACGTGAAATGTGCAGTCGTGCACAATGATGGTATGAAGTGTAATACCATTTGTGATATGTACATTCAAGTGCAAATGTATCATCAACATGAAATTAAAGATTTGTGACATCTGAAAGTGAGAATGAGATTGAGAACAATAGTAAACCATGTACATAACACGTGTGAAAAAGAATGAAAACCACAAAACTCAGGTTTCCAAGTTTTGATACATTTTGACAACTGGTGTTTAAAAATCAAAGATTAGTGAAAATATTCATGCAACGTTTGATCATCTAGAAGCACACTAAAACACATGTACAGTTCCCCCACAATTTGAACAATGTGGTTTATCAAAGGGGTCCGACATATATGACGACACGTTGACTGGACGTTCGAATTCAAAAACCTACTAATACACAAAACAACCAAGTAAACAAAAATAGGTCCACGTTTCTTTATCAGAAAACAAGATCGCGAATCGTAAGTTGTGGGGGACAGGTGTTGAATTCTACAGCTGAATTTTTCTGCCGTCAGGACGTCTTGTTTTGATATGGTGCCATCTGATTTTGGAACACGAACTGGCAGCCGTCCACGACAAGAAGCCGAGCTTTCTACGATATTTTGCTCCAAAGGGTAACCAAGTTTTCTCCCTAAAACAAAGAGGCAAGAATGGTGGCGGGGTTTTATGTAACAAAGGAGAGAAATTGGTAAAATTTCTGTAAACATTGAGCGGTGGTACAACAAGGGCGCGTGCATGGCAGCACACAGGGCGCCAACCACCCGCCCCCAAAAAATTCTCGGCGGCCCTGCCACCTAAACCCCGACGACTTCCCCACGTCCTTACCTTCGTCGGATTCGTTGTCGAATTCCCTGTCCTCGTCGCCGTCAATCGTGCTGGAATCGTCGCTGAAACCGTCGTGAAACGAGCGGGAATCCTCGCCGTAGTGGGGCAGAGATGCCGCCATCGTCTCAAATATAATCGAAACAAAAAACGAAATGCCCAGAAATCGCCACAGCGGAAGTCATTAGGCCCCTTGCATTATCAAAATAGGGTATTTTTATGTTTCAGAAAATCCTATAATATATACTTAACAATCTAAATGTATATTATAGGTTCATATATAAAATATTGTTTGTATACATAAATAAATAAAAGTAGATTAAGTTAAATTATTGAAAAATGGTAGAATTATATGTGGATTTATGAATATGAAGTATAACTAGGATCCCTATGTAATTTCGCCCTTTGGTCTACTCCAGGTTTCCGGTCTCGGCGGCTCACGGAACTTAGTCTGAGACTTCACGAGACTTTGCCGTCCGGGACACGAGCTCACAAAACGCCGTTTCATTTATCAAACATTAAAATTTGGTTAAAAACTCTGCAAATTTGTAAATTTTGAGCCGTTTTTGCTGCATAAAACGTCATAAAACATAGACATTTGTCAAGATTTCACCAATTGCGCTCCAAGACGTTTGCGCGTGCGCAAGAGGCCGCCATCTTGAACGTGTAAATTTGGAAAAATTTGGGAGGAGTAGTGGGCAGCCAGGACTGGACGGGATTCTGCAGCACAACCAGCCAATTTAACCCCACAACCAGCACCGTAGGTAACTTTCCTACCTCTAGATCGGTGATTCCTCTAGAATACCATCCATTTTGACACAATATGCCGAATTTGTACTCTCATTATCATGCTTGAAACATCCGTCAAAGAAAATGAGTCGTCGTCCACCCTTCTTGCATAAAACTCAAGCTGTGAGCTCTGGAAAAAAAATCCCCACCCATATGTAAGTTTGTGGTCTAGAAAGGCGGTGAATTCCTCACGGTTGTTGGGGGAGTTGTGAGTGGAATCGTGCGTGGGATGGGGAGGTTTTTTTCGGGGGGTTGGCTGTGCTTGGGGATAGCCGCGGGGGCAAGCGGCGGGGTTAGGGCGTGATGTCATCATATGGACCGTGTGCATGTTTCGGAAAGCTTGCCTAGCGTTTCCTGCTTTCCGCAAGGCCAACTCTACCTCCATTCCCCTTCCCCAAAAAATAACCCACAGCAATTCCTACACCTAACCCAGCCCTTAGATTCCAGCTCTTCTGGATATTTGTGTTCTTGGTAGAAGCAGGGGGAACCCCAGTTAGGCAACTAGGGCGTTGCTAAAAGCTTTTTGTGTTGTTCACATGTGTACCCTGGAGGGACCATCCATGTGCTGTGTATGTGTGTGTGCAGACCCTATCTTATCATGGTCAGGGTGTCACCTGACTGGCCGATAGAAGGAACTGGGCACTCGCAACGCTGCAACGTTCCTCTCGATTCGGTTGTATCAAACCCAGCAGAATGTTATCACTAGTTGTGGCACAGGTCAAGGTGAAGACCACGCCTTGATTAATATAATCTCCTTGTCAGCGTGTAATGCTAAAGGGTGTGATGGACTTGGTCGCTGATGACTCATGTTGGTATTTCCCCGTTAAAGTATATATATGTAATATGTGTGTCCAGACCTCGGGAAGGTATTTATGTTAGCGATCGTGACCTTTCTTTGACAGTAGCAAGCCTGGGAGGATTTGGTTAGAGTTCATTTTCAATCTTTAAATTTTGGCAGTGACCACGAGATTCGGGCCTATGCAAATGCCGTTTACGATTTCGCCAGCTGTTTCTTGTCCAGGTTTTCGAAATCGCTGGTTTTAGTCTCTGTGGTAGATTTAATACGAGTACAGTCCGGTTTTATTTTGAAATATTTACACATTGAAGTACAGTTTTCATCAATATTTTTGATATTGAAATTTAGCATTGTGTTGTTCAGCTTTGTGCAAGTTTATATAGAATTGATACTGGTTTAAATTTGTAAAACCATTCTTTCATGTGATGGAATTTTAGCTCAATATGATGTAGTGTCCAGCGATATGTGATAAACATTTTAGAATCCAAAGCATAATAGGTTTTTCATATACAGTATTGTAATCAGCATGATAATAAGGATAACTCATGTGCAGATACAAGAATCTCTGCAAGTGTAGTTCTCACCTGAAGCAAGACGTTTGTCAAACGACTCAAAAGACATTGCTGACGGTTACCAAGATGCCATAGATTCTTACCATTGACCCAGTTCTAGGACTTGGCTGTGACATTACTGTTCAGGGCTCGAAACTAACGGTGTCCCGATGGCCACTGACCACTAAAATTTTAGCTGGGACACCTAAAAAGACAATTTCGGACATTTTTGGGACAATAGAAAAATAATCAACATCAGAATGTCTTTCGTTTTGCTCCGGAAAAAGCTCCCCAAAATTTGCCATTTACTCTGCAATTGTAGGGCGTCAGAAAGTCAGAACGTAATCAAAATAAAGTTGACTTCAAGTTCACTTCCTGAAAAACAGGTTGGGACAGTTCATCCTCACTTCGGGACAATTGAAATTTATTTTCGGGACAGTGCTGGGACAATAGGGAAAAAAAATTTCGACGTCTGCTGTTGTATTGTTTTGGGACAAACAATCCTCAGAAACACTGGGTCGAGCTTCCTTCGGTTCCAATGACTGCTCTCCATCCTCAGAAATGTAAAAAGAACAGATCAAGATCTTGTGAAACACAACTACAATTGTTCTCTATCCCCCAATTCTCACTCTATGAACACACAGTTATAACTGAATGATTTTAAACTTGTCATGCAAAATTCTAATTGGCTGGTACCTTTTCATGTGTGTGCATGCATCAATGTATGCAAAAGCCAACTGTCACTTTTTGCCAGGATATATTGTTCAAGTCCACAATGCACATGTGGGGCTGGCCAGTTTTTGTAAGCATTCTTGCATGTAAAGGAATGCGGAAAGAACCTTTGTGCTGAATTATGTTGTTGGCTTTGCCAAGGTATGTTTTTTCTGAAACGCTGATTTAAACAGTGATTTCGAACAGTGTGAGGTTAGCTTGAATGGCAACTTAAAACTTCTACATGTATGGTATTTTATCTTTAGTTGATTTACTCGGAACTAAAACCAAAATCTGGAAAGGTTAATTCTTCTACCAATTCTAAAATGCTTTTGTACATATACATTACTATTAGGATAGAAACTATTTGCTAGTATTGGTGATTTATAATTCATTTTTCCTGTATCGCTACCTCGATTCGTCAATGAAGGCTAGACCTCCAGACAGAACATTACATAATACAAAAAGCAACGGGATGAATTCTCTGAAAAGTGCACAGATTCTCTGAAAAGTCTGATGTTTCAGATAGCATAGAATGTTTCTCATTTACTGATGAAAGATAGCAGATGCTATCTGATACTTTTCAGAGAAGATACCCAGTTGCTTGATTTCTTTCATATTCCATGAACGATCGTCGAAATTTTTAGAGTGGCTTGGTTAAAAAACAAACATATAGGGGACAAACTTATGATATATTGCCTTATAATAATATCTAGTGATCGTGAGTTTATCCAAGATAGTGCAGGGCTCGAAATACTAGGTGCATGTGAACCTTAGTGCATCCAAAATTGGAGCTGTGCACCTAATTTTTTTCTGTGGATGCACTATTGCACCCAAATATGTTTGTAGGAATTTTTAACATTAGAAATGTATAATAGTATACCGGATATTCTTGGTCTCTGAGTATCAAAAATAATAAAATCTTTGCTGTAGTACTTGATTTTGAAGTTAGCTCTCATTTTAGAATCGAGCTCAGAAGAGGAGCAGTAAGACCTACAATTAGTTTTTTTTTCATATGGTGCACCCAAAAAATTTTTGTGCACCTAATTTTTTAGGTTGCGTGCACCTATTCCTGAAAATGAATATCGAGCCCTGCTGTTACAGTGCTGTATAAAACGTTCTCCTGAGCTATTGTATACTGATACTTCTGTCAGAGTCCAGTTGTTGGGCTGGGTGTGTGATTTGGCATCAGTCTGTAACCAGCACCCTCCCAGTCTGCAAACAACGTCTGTGTGGCAACATCGATAACCTTTCCCTTCTCAATGGAAATGTTTAAAAACATTCAAAGTCCAGAACCTTTTGGGAGGAAAGCCGTACCGTGCACGGTTGTTGTAGGTAGGTGCCGGTCATTCGTAATGTGTTTGAGACGGCGATTGTTGAGAAATGTTTGCAAATAGACAGAGCTTGCACCCCCCTCCAGATCAGTGGTCATTGACCTTTCGTCAATTCGTGACACAAACATGACGTCAGTATTCAATGCATTTATCGAGTCATTCAAGTGAGTTCCTACGTTCCCCCTAAACTATGGACATCAGGGTTCTCACCAGGATTTTTTCAGTCAGAGTATAGGGGTCTGGTACAGAAGGGCAACTTTCTGCGTTGCAAGTTGCGCATCGAGTCCCAAAAAGACGACCACAGCAGGGGATCTGATATTCCCCTCTAAACTTTGTTTTGTAACTCACAACCCCCTGAGATACTATTTCCTGCTTATTCGGGGAGAAGTTTTGTTTTCCCTATATCATAGCTTCATTCTGAAGATATATTTTCATTTTTCAAAAAATTTATGAAAGCTCTGCCCCAAAAAAGCCCCTACACTGGTTGAATGACAGTGTAGGGGCCAAATCACAGCGTAGGGGGCCCCCTATGTGCAAACAGCCTGATGAGAACTATGGACATGTTTTTTTAAGAAGGGAAACAAAGTGAATATGGAGGTAATCCGAGGTATGTATCTTTGATAAGAAGAAATACGTGTACATGTAGCCTGGAATCTCGTCTTGTTGTGGTCTATTCGCTTATGAAAGCCTGCGGCAGGGTAGCAGACTGGAGTTACTAACTGGAATATGCACTTCCTATCTTTCTATACTGTACTACAGAATTTCTTAAACAGTGAACTTAGAACACCACAAAAACCTTTTACTTCTGTGAAATCTAATCCTTGTGAAAATAAATGAATTTACAGTAGTTTGGACAAATGTTTGGTTTAACGTTGAACTTCGCTCTGTTGTGTTCACTCATCAGAGTTGTATTGGTTACAACAGCGGCAGTGTTAGGGTGGCTACAATTGCAAGTTACCCCAAACGTTTTGGAAAGGAGTCCAGAGTCCTGGTTTAGCATT